GGAAATTACACTGCTCAAAAAAATAAAGGGAACACTTAAACAACACAATGTAACTCCAAGTCAATCACACTTCTGTGAAATCAAACTGTCCACTTAGGAAGCAACACTGATTGACAATACATTTCACATGCTGTTGTGCAAATGGAATAGACAACAGGTGGAAATTATAGGCAATTAGCAAGACACCCCCAATAAAGAAGTGGTTCTGCAGGTGGTGACCACAGACCACTTCTCAGTTCCTATGCTTCCTGGCTGATGTTTTGGTCACTTTTGAATGCTGGCGGTGCTTTCACTCTAGTGGTAGCATGAGACGGAGTCTACAACCCACACAAGTGGCTCAGGTAGTGCAGCTCATCCAGGATGGCACATCAATGCGAGCTGTGGCAAGAAGGTTTGCTGTGTCTGTCAGCGTAGTGTCCAGAGCATGGAGGCGCTACCAGGAGACAGGCCAGTACATCAGGAGACGTGGAGGAGGCCGTAGGAGGGCAACAACCCAGCAGCAGGACCGCTACCTCCGCCTTTGTGCAAGGAGGAGCAGGAGGAGCACTGCCAGAGCCCTGCAAAATGACCTCCAGCAGGCCACAAATGTGCATGTGTCTGCTCAAACGGTCAGAAACAGACTCCATGAGGGTGGTATGAGGGCCCGACATCCACAGGTGGGGGTTGTGCTTACAGCCCAACACCGTGCAGGACGTTTGGCATTTGCCAGAGAACACCAAGATTGGCAAATTCGCCACTGGCGCCCTGTGCTCTTCACAGATGAAAGCAGGTTCACACTGAGCACATGTGACAGACGTGACAGAGTCTGGAGACGCCATGGAGAACGTTCTGCTGCCTGCAACATCCTCCAGCATGACCGGTTTGGCGGTGGGTCAGTCATGGTGTGGGGTGGCATTTCTTTGGGGGGCCGCACAGCCCTCCATGTGCTCGCCAGAGGTAGCCTGACTGCCATTAGGTACCGAGATGAGATCCTCAGACCCCTTGTGAGACCATATGCTGGTGTGGTTGGCCCTGGGTTCCTCCTAATGCAAGACAATGCTAGACCTCATGTGGCTGGAGTGTGTCAGCAGTTCCTGCAAGAGGAAGGCATTGATGCTATGGACTGGCCCGCCCGTTCCCCAGACCTGAATCCAATTGAGCACATCTGGGACATCATGTCTCGCTCCATCCACCAACGCCACGTTGCACCACAGACTGTCCAGGAGTTGGCGGATGCTTTAGTCCAGGTCTGGGAGGAGATCCCTCAGGAGACCATCCGCCACCTCATCAGGAGCATGCCCAGGCATTGTAGGGAGGTCATACAGGCACGTGGAGGCCACACACACTACTGAGCCTCATTTTGACTTGTTTTGAGGACATTACATCAAAGTTGGATCAGCCTATAGTGTGGTTTTCCACTTTAATTTTGAGGGTGACTCCAAATCCAGACCTCCATGGGTTGATACATTTTATTTCCATTGATAATTTTTGTGTGATTTTGTTGTCAGCACATTCAACTATGTAAAGAAAAAAGTATTTAATAAGATTATTTCATTCATTCAGATCTAGGATGTGTTGTTTAAGTGTTCCCTTTATTTTATTTTTTTGAGCAGTGTATATTGGAGGCATGGCTTTCAATTAGTTGTTTTTGGTCACCCGTGAGTGGAAGTGTTGTACCAGTTTTTAAATCATCTATGGTTATGTTAATGAAAGTTTAAGCATGTCTGCTGCCAGTCCTGAAGTCTTTATAAATGCTTACATAAGAGCATGTGGCAAAGATACGGACCTCTTTGCATAATGGTTAATATACTATATATGAGGTGTTATTGCATAACATCATTGGTACAAACTATATACACTTCCTAGTGTTAAAATACTACAGTATATGAAGTGTTATTTCTGTTACACTGACAAAGTGTAACAGCGTCAGCACTAAGTACAGTCTTAATTTAACACTAAAAAGTGTGGACCTGTATAGACACTGGCCCAGTGTTAAATTGAACAATAGAGAAATTTGCTGTGTTTCATCTTTATAAAAACAGACACTGTTTTCAACGCTCTCCAATATGCAAGGAAGTGTATCAAAACCTTCCACAACCTTTTCAGCTATTTATCCCTAGCAGCAATAGAAGAGTGGCACAACAGCAGGAGGATGATTCACCCTCTAGCCACCTCTATGAACCTGTAGACAGCATTGTGAGAGCATTATTACAACTTTCTAACCTCAAGGGGCTTTTCCTGGTTAAATAAAGTTTTAGTTTTATATTACGTTCCCCTAGCCACCTCTATGAACCTGTAGACAGCATTATGTCCCCCTAGCTACCTCTATGAACTTGTAGACAACATTACTATGTTCCCCTAGCCACCTCTATGAACCTGTAGACAACATGATTATGTTCCTCTAGCCACCTCTATGAACCTGTAGACAACATGATTATGTTCCTCTAGCCACCTCTATGAACCTGTAGACAACATGATTATGTTCCTCTAGCCACCTCTATGAACCTGTAGACAGAATTATTATGTTCCTCTAGCCACCTCTATGTTCCTGACATCACCCGTCTATTTGCATCCCCTGACCTCTCAGCCAGCCAGACCGTTGTGTTGTCAGCCTCATCAATAGCACCATGACTAGGATAGAGTGGATGTGTTTAGACAGCAATAGGGAGGAGATGAATGAACGGCCAATACAGTTATCAATAATGTGAGGGGCGCCGTTGGATGGAGGCAGGTTTAGTCTGAAATGGCCACCTACTCCCTTTTAAGTGCACTACATTTGACCAGAGCCCTTGTTAAAAGTAGTGCACTATATATGGAATAGGGTGCCATTTGTGACACACCCCAGGAGTTATAGGGGGATCCCTGAGCCAGACATTATTCCATTGTTGTCATCCATCAAGAGACATCAGCATTGACTGTTATCACCCATCCATCTCTCAGCAAGATGTATAATAATACCTTATTAAAAAAGGGAGTTATAAGTCCACAGATTTCCCTCTGTGAGTATTACAGTTGAGATGTTTTAGTTCCTATAGCTCTGCTGTGATAACGGCCTGGGGTAACACCCTCAGTGATGTCGGGGGGTAACATCATAAGTCTATGGGTAACATCCTCAGTGATGTCGGGGTAACATCATAAGTCTATGGGTAACACCCTCAGTGATGTCGGGGGGTAACATCATAAGTCTATGGGTAACATCCTCAGTGATGTCGGGGGGTAACATCATAAGTCTATGGGTAACACCCTCAGTGATGTACTCCTGAGTGGCGCAGTGGTCTAAGGCACTGCATCGCAGTGCTAACTGTGCCACTAGAGATCCTGGTTCGAATACAGGCTCTGTCGCAGCCGGCCGCGACCGGCAGACTCATGGGCGGCGCACAATTGGCCCAGCGTCATCCAGGGTAGGGGAGGGAATGGCCGGCAGGGATGTAGCTCAGTTGATAGAGCATGGCGTTTGCAATGCCAGGGTTGTGGGTTCGATTCCCACGGGGGGCCAGTATAAAAAAATAAATAAAAAAAGATATGTAAGTCGCTCTGGATAAGAGCGTCTGCTAAATGACTAAAATGTAAATGTAAATGTTGACTCACTGATGTGAGCTAGGGAACCAGCACGCTTTCATCAATACTCACAAATGTTCATGTCTCTCTCCATTTCTTTCTTTCTCCCCCCTCTCTCCCTCTTCCTGGTGACTCTATAATCACTCTGTTTTCCCATCTCTGGAGGACTCATCTCTGTTCTGTTATTCTGCAAGGCTGACCACTGAAAACCTAAAAGAGTCAAAGTCTGCATCCCAAATGGCACCCTATTCCCTATATAGTGCGCTGCTTCCTATGGGCCCTGGTCAAAAGTAGTGCCCTATATAACGACTAGGATGTCATTTGGGACGCAGTCAGAAGGTTTAATATTCATGGCCTGGTGCTCCATACTAGAGTTGATCCTCCAGAAATGGACAGCTGCTTCTCTCTCTCCTCTGATGTTGTTGCTGTTAAAAAACGGCTTCTTTTCTTTTGCAGGAATAGTATTTTACCAGGAATTCCATGGGTTGGCTTTGCTCAATATATTAATGTTTCTCTTTGGGTAAGTAGTATGCAACAGTACTGTCTTTTTAGGAATATAGGCCATGACATTCCTCTGAATACAGGCCATGACATTCCTCTGAATACAGGCCATGACATTCCTCTGAATACAGCCCTTGACATTCCTCTGAATACAGGCCATGACATTCCTCTGAATACGGGCCATGACATTCCTCTGAATACAGGCCATGACATTCCTCTGAATACAGGCCATGACATTCCTCTGAATACAGGCCATGACATTCCTCTGAATACAGCCCTTGACATTCCTCTGAATACAGGCCATGACATTCCTCTGAATACGGGCCATGACATTCCTCTGAATACGGGCCATGACATTTCTCTGAATACAGGCCATGACATTCCTCTGAATACAGGCCATGACATTCCTCTGAATACAGCCCTTGACATTCCTCTGAATACGGGCCATGACATTCCTCTGAATACGGGCCATGACATTCCTCTGAATACGGGCCATGACATTCCTCTGAATACGGGCCATGACATTCCTCTGAATACGGGCCATGACATTCCTCTGAATACGGGCCATGACATTCCTCTGAATACGGGCCATGACATTCCTCTGAATACGGGGCCATGACATTCCTCTGAATACGGGGCCATGACATTCCTCTGAATACGGGCCATGACATTCCTCTGAATACGGGCCATGACATTCCTCTGAATACGGGCCATGACATTCCTCTGAATACGGGCCATGACATTCCTCTGAATACGGGCCATGACATTCCTCTGAATACGGGCCATGACATTCCTCTGAATACGGGCCATGACATTCCTCTGAATACAGGCCATGACATTCCTCTGAATACAGGCCATGACATTCCTCTGAATACAGGCCATGACATTCCTCTGAATGTGACATCCAGAGTAGGGGCTGTGGATACTCCATACATTTCAGTCCCTGTATCTGGTTACTCTTAATGGAGTTAAAAGTACACCGTCCCAAAGAACTCCAGAGAACATATCACTCTGTTGAGGGTTCAGATAACTCCAGTAGAGTCAATTTAACCTGTGATTCCAGCTCTCCTTGATTTAGTGTGATAGCTGAACATAACCCTCTCTCTGAACTCTTCCAGCTGTCTGCTCTCATTCATTGGAGTCTTCCTGATAGCCAGAGACAGACCCAAGATCAAGACTCAAGACAAAACCTTTATAGCCATGGGAAAAATCCCAGGTAACTATTTACTTCTCTTACAACAAATAGACATGGATGAGACCATTTTGAAATAATATAACAAAATAAACACGATTTAATATCCAAGAGTATACATTTCTACAAGGAAACACATCAACCATTTGCCTAAACAAGTAGCATTTGAAATGGTTACATTGTATTTGAACAAGGTATTTTGCTGCTGTGTGTAGTCTGGTAACATGGTGTTACTGTGTGAATGTGTAGTGAGTGGGTTTGGCCCCAGCTAAACTAACGTAGCAGGCGTAAAAGAAACGCCTGAAACTAGATCCCCTACATCAGTGTTTCCCAACCCTGGTCCTCCAGTACACCCCAAAAGTACACATTTTTAGTGTAACCCTGGACAAGCACACCTGATTTAACTTGTCAACTACAGTGGCTTGCGAAAGTATTCATCCCCCCTTGGCATTTTTCCTATTTTGTTGCCTTACAACCTGGAATTAAAATAGATTTTGGGGGGATTTGTATCATTTGATTTACACAATATGTCTACCACTTTGAAGATTTTTTATTATGAAACAAACAACAAATAAGACAAAAAAACTGAAAACTTCAACGTGCATAACTATTCACCCCCCCCAAAGTCAATACTTTGTAGAGCCACCTTTTGCAGCAATTACAGCTGCAAGTCTCTTGGGGTATGTCTCTATAAGCTTGGCACATCTAGACACTGGGATGTTTGCCCATTCTTCAAGGCAAAACTGCTCCAGCTCCTTCAAGTTGGATGGGTTCCGCTGGTGTACAGCAATCTTTAAGTCATACCACAGATTCTCAATTGGATAGAGGTCTGGGCTTTGACTAGGCCATTCCAACACATGTAAATGTTTCCCCTTAAACCACTTGAGTGTTGCTTTAGCAGTATGCTTAGGGTCATTGTCCTGCTGGAAGGTGAACCTCCGTCCCAGTCTCAAATCTCTGGAAGACTGAAACAGGTTTCCCTCAAGAATTTCCCTGTATTTAGCGCCATCCATCATTCCTTCAATTCTGACCAGTTTCCCAGTCCCATCCGATGAAAAACATCCCCACAGCATGATGCTGCCACCACCATGCTTCACTGTGGGGATGGTGTTCTCGGGGTGATGAGAGGTGTTGGGTTTGTGCCAGACATAGTGTTTTCCTTGATGGCCAAAAAGCTCAATTTTAGTCTCATCTGACCAGAGTACCTTCTTCCATATGTTTGGGGAGTCTCCCACATGGCTTTTGGCGAACACCAAACGTGTTTGCTTATTTTTTTCTTTAAGCAATGGCATCTTTCTGCCCACTATTCCGTAAAGCCCAGCTCTGTGGAGTGTACGGCTTAAAGTGGTCCTATGGATAGATACTCCAATCTCCGCTGTGGGTTGGGCTGTTGGGAGGGTTACTGGAGGACCAGGGTTGGACTTTTGGGGGGTTACTGGAGGACCGAGGCTGGACTGTTGGGGGATACTGGAGGAATAGGGTTGGGCTGTTGGGGGGTACTGGAGGACCAGGGTTGGGCTGTTGGGGTGGTAGTGGAGGCCCAGGGTTGGGAATTAATGTCTTCCTCTACAGTAAACCTGTTCAGCCATCCCTCAATAGCCAGGAGGTGCTTAATGTGTTCCTCTACAGTAAACCTGTCCAGCCATCCCTCCTCCCTCAATAGCCAGGAGGTGCTTAATGTGTTCCTCTACAGTAAACCTGTTCAGCCATCCCTCCTCCCTCAATAGCCAGGAGGAGCTTAATGTGTTCCTCTACAGTAAACCTGTTCAGCCATCCCTCCTCCCTCAATAGCCAGGAGGAGCTTAATGTCTTCCTCTACAGTAAACCTGTTCAGCCATCCCTCCTCCCTCAATAGCCAGGAGGAGCTTAATGTCTTCCTCTACAGTAAACCTGTTCAGCCATCCCTCCTCCCTCAATAGCCAGGAGGTGCTTAATGTGTTCCTCTACAGTAAACCTGTTCAGCCATCCCTCAATAGCCAGGAGGTGCTTAATGTGTTCCTCTACAGTAAACCTGTTCAGCCATCCCTCCTCCCTCAATAGCAAGGAGGTGCTTAATGTCTTCCTCTACAGTAAACCTGTTCAGCCATCCCTCAATAGCCAGGAGGTGCTTAATGTCTTCCTCTACAGTAAACCTGTTCAGCCATCCCTCAATAGCCAGGAGGTGCTTAATGTGTTCCTCTACAGTAAACCTGTTCAGCCATCCCTCCTCCCTCAATAGCCAGGAGGAGCTTAATGTGTTCCTCTACAGTAAACCTGTTCATTCATCCCTCCTCCCTCAATAGCCAGGAGGTGCTTAATGTGTTCCTCTAGAGTAAACCTGTTCAGCCATCCCTCCTCCCTCAATAGCCAGGAGGTGCTTAATGTGTTCCTCTACAGTAAACCTGTTCAGCCATCCCTCCTCCCTCAATAGCCAGGAGGTGCTTAATGTGTTCCTCTACAGTAAACCTGTTCAGCCATCCCTCAATAGCCAGGAGGAGCTTAATGTCTTCCTCTACAGTAAACCTGTTCAGCCATCCCTCAATAGCCAGGAGGTGCTTAATGTGTTCCTCTACAGTAAACCTGTTCAGCCATCCCTCCTCCCTCAATAGCCAGGAGGAGCTTAATGTCTTCCTCTACAGTAAACCTGTTCAGCCATCCCTCCTCCCTCAATAGCCAGGAGGAGCTTAATGTCTTCCTCTACAGTAAACCTGTTCAGCCATCCCTCCTCCCTCAATAGCCAGGAGGTGCTTAATGTGTTCCTCTACAGTAAACCTGTTCAGCCATCCCTCCTCCCTCAATAGCCAGGAGGTGCTTAATGTGTTCCTCTACAGTAAACCTGTTCAGCCATCCCTCCTCCCTCAATAGCCAGGAGGAGCTTAATGTGTTCCTCTACAGTAAACCTGTTCAGCCATCCCTCCTCCCTCAATAGCCAGGAGGAGCTTAATGTGTTCCTCTACAGTAAACCTGTTCAGCCATCCCTCAATAGCCAGGAGGTGCTTAATGTGTTCCTCTACAGTAAACCTGTTCAGCCATCCCTCAATAGCCAGGAGGTGCTTAATGTGTTCCTCTACAGTAAACCTGTTCAGCCATCCCTCAATAGCCAGGAGGAGCTTAATGTGTTCCTCTACAGTAAACCTGTTCAGCCATCCCTCCTCCCTCAATAGCCAGGAGGTGCTTAATGTGTTCCTCTACAGTAAACCTGTTCAGCCATCCCTCCTCCCTCAATAGCCAGTGGGTGAGGTTAGCTCTCTGTTAACATGGTGAATGTGCATTATCCCAGCAGCAGAATAACATGGTGAATGTGCATTATCCCAGCAGCAGACCCACCTCTCTAATGATCTATATGTGTTGTCTCTTGTCTCTGCTACAGGGAGAAAATCTAAAGATAAGGTCCAGCCGGAGGCTAACAGTAACACATACGGATCTCTGGCAGCTAAACTCATGTGTAACAAACCTGGCCCACAGGACGACTCGTAATATCAGCCACACCTGTGTGTTTTACCTGGACCTGTCTGTCTGTGTACCGAGACTACCTGTGTGTTTTACCTGGACCTGTCTGTCTGTGTACCGAGACTACCTGTGTGTTTTACCTGGACCTGTCTGTCTGTGTACCGAGACTACATGTGTGTTTTACCTGGACCTGTCTGTCTGTGTACCGAGACTACCTGTGTGTTTTACCTGGACCTGTCTGTCTGTGTACCGAGACTACCTGTGTGTTTTACCTGGACCTGTCTGTCTGTGTACCGAGACTACATGTGTGTTTTACCTGGACCTGTCTGTCTGTGTACCGAGACTACATGTGTGTTTTACCTGGACCTGTCTGTCTGTGTACCGAGACTACCTGTGTGTTTTACCTGGACCTGTCTGTCTGTGTACCGAGACTACCTGTGTGTTTTACCTGGACCTGTCTGTCTGTGTACCGAGACTACCTGTGTGTTTTACCTGGACCTGTCTGTCTGTGTACCGAGACTACCTGTGTGTTTTACCTGGACCTGTCTGTCTGTGTACCGAGACTACCTGTGTGTTTTACCTGGACCTGTCTGTCTGTGTACCGAGACTACATGTGTCAACACTACACACCTCTCTCCTGGGTTGCCAGACTGAATGACTGATGTACAGGCAGGGTTACTGTATTTCCAGCAGGGTTATGACTACGGTTGCAAAATTCCCAGATTTTCCAGAAATCCTAGTTAGAGGACAATAGGAATTCCTGCTAATTCGCTCCTGATTCTAGGAATCTTGCCCGACGCAGGATTTCTGGAAAACCTGGACATCTTGGGAAAGTTACCAGAATTGTGCAATTATCAGGGAATTTAACTCTGGTGCTACAGATAGATCCAACCCAAATGCACTACAGGCACCAAGTAAACAACTTTATTATTTCATTCTCAAGGAGGTGGCTATATGAGGCTGTCTTAGGAACCACCTGATATTCTCTGTTAACATTAAAGCAACTTTGTTAGATCTCATTTCTGCTGAGACACTTTAATATGGTTTCTATCATTGATTTGTTAATAAACTGTAATGTGATATTTAGAGTGTTTCACGAGGTCCCTAGAAACTCTGGCCGGCAAAGCACGTGCACCAGCGTCCTCCACTGGTCGTAACAGGAATGACTGTTTAACTACGAGGGCATCCAGGCCCGTAGACGTCTTGGTAAATGTTAGGCGTTTCAAACGTCAGACAGAACAGCATCGGTCATTCAGAAGTTGGATATTTGTTTGCTAAGCTAATAGCCTCAGATGCCCAGGCTTCGCTCAACAAGATGAGATTTGGAAGGATGGCCTCAAGACTACACTACACCAACACATTTTAATAACTAGCGCTTCACCCTTTTTTCTTTTAAATCAAAATGTCATTTTGTGAATTGCATTTCCAAGAGCAGTGGCATGTAAGAGTTGAACTGCTACACTGACTGGTATGGATCAGCCTACATCTCCAGACGGAAAGACTGCAAAACATGGTCATCTTACATCTATTTTCAATCATATATTGAGTGATAATGAACTTAAGAGTTTTCTTATCTAGATAAATTAGCAGAACATTTTGCTTATTTTAACCCCCAAAAACGATATTTTACCTTAATCGTTTTAAGATAAAATATATTCAAATGAGAAATTAATTGTATGAAGACTTTTAAAAGGTAAAAATGTTCTGCCGATGTAGTTAGACAATTTATCTTGATAATTTTTAATTCATTATTACTCAGTGTAAGATTTAGTTACGTTTTATTAGTCGTATGTGCGGGATATGCATGGTATGCATCGTCCACTGAAATGGTTACTTGACAATGCAACAACATAATACAAGATTTGAATAGGAACATAAGGAAACATGTTAGCATCAGTATAATACAGAAGGGTCCAATATTTACACGTGTTTTGAGGATGGAGGTGGGGGGGCAGTGTATAAACTGAGCAGTATTAATTAGAGTCTGGTACCAGCAGTTGTGCAATAGTGATGGTCCTGTGTGTCTCAGTTGGTAGAGCATGGCGCTCGTCTTGCCAGGGTTGTGGGTTCGATTCCAACGGGTGACCAGTACGGCAAAGTATGTACTCATTACTGTAAGTCGCTCTGCTAAATGACGTGAATGTAGCAGGAATGTACACAGTGTGTAAAACATGAGTTGGGTTGTACCCCCTTTTACCCTCAATTCTTCGGGGCATGGACTCTACAAGGTGTCGAAAGTGTTCCACAGGGATGCTGGCCCATGTTGACTACAATGCTTCCCACAGTTGTGTGAAGTTGGCTGGATGTCCTTTGGGTGGTGGACGATTATTGATACACACGGGAAACTGTTGAGCATGAAAAACCCAGCAGTGTTGCAGTTCTTGACACACTCAAACAGGTGCACCTGGCACCTACTACCATACCCCAATCAAAGGCACTTAAATATTTTGTCTTGCCCATTGACCCTCTGAATGGCACACATACATAATCCATGTCTCAAGGCTTAAAAATCCTTCTTTAACCTGTCTCCTCCCCTTCATCTACACTGATTGAAGTGGATTTAACAGGTGACATCAATAAGGGATCATAACTTTCACCTGGTCAGTCTGTCATGGAAAGCTCACATGTTCCTAATGTTTTGTACACTCAGTGTATGTGTGCATGTGTACTAAGGTGCAGAGAATCAGAGCAGGTGGTCAGTCCAGTAGTGTTCAGCAGCAGTGGCGGCTCCTGAACAAATTCTCAGGGAGGGCAATTTTTCTGATGATTTAGGTGACCTACACACATTTTTAAAAAGATATGTCCAGCAACAACATGAAGACAGGGGCAGCATATAAGTCAATACCAGAAGCATTTATTGACTGATCTCAAAAGTGTTGGCTTACAAAAGCAAAATAAGTTATCACAGTAAAAATAATCAAGGGTGTTCTTTCACATTCCTCAACACTGCATAAACAATATGCATTTCCATAAACAAATGAAATATCAGCTGAAAATACAGCATCTTGGTATTTGTTCAGATTGCAGGATCAACAAGAGCTTTTACCACATTTTTTGATATCTGTTTAATCTTACCTTATGGCCTGCACTTGCTTGTGAAGCTGTCGAGGGCACGTTTGATAGAGACAGCATCGATGTCCTTCTTCTGTAGCTTCTGGTACAGAATGTCGACGTGGGGCATGATTTTGTGAAAAAGCCGCAGGAAAAAAATTAAATCTTCATCATGTAGTATCCTCACGTAGCCAGCTGCCTCTCTCAAGGTGTGCTGGTCAAATGAACCCAATGAACCCGTCCGGATGGCTTCAAAACATTCTATGAGGTCGTCTCGATTCTCGTAGACAGTGTTCACGACTCTGCTGTTGCTAACCTCATCGTTGTGGCGGCGGACAGCTAGCCTGTATCCCTCATCCAGTTGAGTGGCAATATTCACTCTCCCAAAAGCAGACAATCTCAAACAGCTATATGTGGGTCTTTGACAGCTAATTTTTCTTAATCTTTTCTGAAAGATGGTGCATGTCGGTTACACCAGTCGCTGTCCAAGCGGTGCTGTCTGCTGTGCCGCCTTCAGGGTGGAAGAGTAAGCAGGGGTAGCAAAAAACTGCATTAGCTACATCGCAGCCTGCTAGCCAGGTTTTCCGTTCATACCAATTTTTGGAAAATCCTCGGGTGTAGGACTTCCCCCCTTTAGTAGACACCTGTTGAATTATTAAATTTGGTCTGGGAGGTCCTAATTGTTTCGTTGCCAATTTATCTTCATTTGTTCGCCGACAAAAAGGAACTTCGTTCAAAGACACAATCGAGTTGGACTGAAGCCTAGCCATTTTGATAGTAGTAGTGAATTGAATGAGGCTGCTACCTGGTCTTTTCTTAGTTACGTTCATTCGTGGTTACGTTATGTATGACGAAAGCGCGTAAGTGCAAGCCCACAGACACCCATAGAGAATGTATTGAAAGCTTTGAAATGTGACAAAACTAGATTTTACATGGGAGTCTATGACAGACTTCTGGGCGATTTTCAACCTGACTGAAATCGCCCAAAAAACGGGCGGGGCCATTTGAAGCACGACTTTAGCCTGATTTGACATTTAGTGGCTGGCAGATCAGACGTGAACACTGATAACTGCTGTTGCCGTGATATAATTTTTTATAAATTTATAAAAAAAAAATATTTTTTTTTATTTAATTTTTTTTTTTATAATTGATTAGAAAAAAAATCCCTTCCTTTTCCCGTTTGGCAGTGCGTCGCCCATATCGCCCTATTGAACAGGCCGTCCCTGTTCAGCAGTCTGATGGCAGATAGAAACTGTCTGAGCCTGTTTGTGTCAGACCTTCTGTTCCGATACGGTCTGCTCAACGGTAAGGGAGAGAACAGCTTGTGTGTGGGCTCCTTGATGATGCTGCATGCCTTCCTCAGGCAACGTTTTGAGAAGATGTCCTGGATGGGTGGGAGCACGGTCCCAGTGATGTACTGGGCCGCCTTCACCACCCGCTGGGAAGGCCTTACGGTCGTGGATGGAGAAAGTACCGTACCAGGCCGTGATGCAACCGTTCAGCAAGCTCTCGATGGTGCAGCGGTAGTATTTGGAGAGTACCAGCCGCCTTTGGAAGTAGAGACTCTGTTGTGCCCTCTTGACAAGAGTGGTGGTGTTGTTGGTCCATGTCAACTCCTTGGTGATGTGGACGCCATGGAACTTAAAACTTGTGACTATTGCAGTCCTGTTGATGTGGATCGGGGCATGTTCCCTCTGCTTCCTGATGTCAAATACTTTGTTTTGCTGACGTTGAGGGAGAGGTTGTCGTCATGACCCAGTTCACTTACCTCCTCCCTATAGGCTGACTCGTTGTAGTTGATTATCAGGCCTAGAACCTTGATGTCGTCAGCAAACTTGATGGAGTTGGTGTCGTGCAAAGCCATGCAGTCGTGGGTGAACAGAGTACAGCAGATGACTGAGGACACACCTGTGCTGAGGTGGTTGCTAATCCTCACAGCCTGTGGTCTGCCCGTCAGGAAGTCCAGGATCCAGAGGGTGGTGTCCCAGCCTGTGGTCTGCCCGTCAGGAAGTCCAGGATCCAGAGGGTGGTGTCCCAGCCTGTGGTCTGCCCGTCAGGAAGTCCAGGATCCAGTTGCAGAGGGTGGTGTCCAGCTTGGAGGGAACAATAGTGTTGAATGCTGAACTGTTGAAGTCAATGAACAGCATTCTCGGTGTTCCTCTATTCCGCTCCAGCCATTACCACGAGCCTGTCCTCCCCAATTGAGGTGCCACCAACCTCCTGTGCGATGGACATGGCATCATCTGTGGATTTGTTGGAGCGGTATTGGAGTAGGTCCTGTGTGCCTGGCGTGCTGGTCTTGATGTGGAGCCATGACCAGCCTCTCCGAGCACTTCATGATGACCGAGGTAAGCACGACGGGGCGATAGTCATTTCAGCATGTCACCTTGGGACAATGGTGTTCTCTTTAAAGCAGGAGGGGACTACAGCCTGGGACGGGTTGAAGATGTCAGAGAAGACGCCCGCCAGCTGGTCAGCACACACCGAGGACGCGGCCAGGGATGCCATCTTGGCCGGCGGCTCTGTGAGTTTTCCTCAAGTCAGCCTCGGAGAGCAAAAGCACCTGGTCATCCAGAACAGCGAGTCTTCCTGAATGGCTCAGTATTGTCTGCCTTCGGAGCGAGCATAGAATGTGTTAAGCTCGTCTGGGAGGGAGGCTTCGGTGGGCACCGTACAGCTGGATATGCCTTTGTAGTCTGTAACCCTTGCCACATGCGACGCGAGTCTGTTATCTTTTTGTATCCCTAACGGATTTGCGGAGCTCGTACCTCTGGGGCGTAGGCACGGCCAGGCCCACCCACCCAATCAGATTGAGTGTTCCAAACGGGACATTGTCTTTTTACCTGAGCACAATACTTGACTTGGGCAGGAGTTCACCGGAGCCGAGTACTTACACCTCAAATTGTATTCTGTTTGAGTTCCTGCACCTCTTCTAGAATATTATCTCAACAATATTGCAGAGTTCCTGCACCTCTTCTAGAATATTATCTCAACTGTATTGCAGAGTTCCTGCACCTCTTTTAGAACATTATCTCAACAATATTGCAGAGTTCCTGCACCTCTTCTAGAACATTATCGCAACAGTATTGCAGAGTTCCTCCACCTAAATATAAACAGCACCAGAACCTATATTTTAGTCCAAGTCAAGCACTGGCCTTAACATGCATACACCATCAGATGGAATTCATAGTAGGGAGGGGGTTGGAAAACGAAAGGGTCGGGCCTTCAGAACAGCCTGAATTCTCAGGGCATGGACGCGTTGCTTTATTGGTATCAAGGGACATAACATGTGCCAGGAAAACATTCCCCACACCATTACACCACCAGCCTGTACTGTTGACACCAGGCAGGATGGGTCCATGGACTCATGCTGCTGACGCCAAATCCTGACTGTCATCAACATGACGCAACAGGAACCGTGATTCGTCGGACCAGGCAATGTTTTTCCACTCCTCAGTTGTCCAGTGTTGGTGATGACGTGCCCACTGGAGCCACTTCTTCTTGTTTTTAGCTGATAGGAGTGGAACCCAGTGTGGTCGTCTGCTGCAATAGCCCATCTGTGACCAGAACCGACGAGTTGTGTGTTCCGAGATGCCGTTCTGCACACCACTGTTGTACTGTGCCGTTATTTGCCTGTTTGTAGCCCGCATGTTAGCTTGCACCATTGTTGCCATTCTCATTTGACCTCTCATCAACGAGCTGTTTTCACCCACAGGACTGCTGCTGACTGGATGTTTTTTGTTTGTCGCACCATTCTCTGTAAACCCTAGACACTGTCATGCGTGAAAAGCCTAGGAGGCCATCTGGCCAACGATCACACCACATTTAAAGTCGCTTAGGACACTCGTTTTGCCCATTCTAACGTTCAATTGAACAGTAACTGAATGCCTGTCTGCCTGCTTTATATAGCAAGCCACGGCCACGTGACGCACTATCTACAGGAGCGAACCATTTTCATGAACGGGGTGGTGTACCTAATAAACTGGCCACTGAGTGTATATTGACAATTATAATAATACATTTTATTTGGTAGATGCCTTTCAGGACATCGTACATAAAATCTATTTAATTCAGGCCTATGTAATGAATCTGAATTATGCTTGAATATTTACTGGGGGGAAAAAAACTAGAAAAACAAATTGTAGCAAATCAGCTCTTCGCTTTCAAAATAAGGGGCGGGTTCTGGCACGTGTCACTTACTGCGACCATGTGCAGTAAACAGTAGCTATCGCTGTGCAGGCTAGGCTACGCACTGTTAGCTAGGTGTCACTAGACAACTACCATGTGCAGTAAACAGTAGCTATCGCTGTGCAGGCTGGGCTACACTGTCCAGTAACTCAGTGTCGGACAGGGAATAGGCTTTAGATAACTCAGATTGGAGTAGAGGGATTTTATTGTTAACCATTTAAACTAGAGCTCTCAAATCCAACAAAGGAATTGAGGCAAACCAAAGAATGATTGATGACTTCTCTACAGAACCAGTACACACCCAGTCCCAGTGACGATCTAAAGGCAGTCCCTTAGGTGGAAACAATATTGAACTTAAAATAACTGTCATCTCAACTCAAATGAAAACTCCCAGAAAACCTATGGGGAATTATTATCAAGCAAAAGTTATTCCACTCAAACAATGCATAATGTGGCATTCAATATGTGTAATGTTCTGTGTGCATGCCATGCTTACCATACATTTTATATCTAGTCCCCCTAATAGGGGTGAGGTGAAGGGACTCACACAAGGCACAATGTTTTTCTCAGAACAAAGTCTGTGGCTTTACACAGCTGGGTCTAAGCGAAGCGGGACTGTAGCGATGTGGGGTTGAACTTGCAGTACTCCTCAGACCTCTATGTTGATCTTAGCAAAGCGGTACTGCATTGATCCAGGGTTCCGTAGCAGCACCAATCCTCTCTGGCTGTCAGGCTGTCTGAGCAGGGTGTGTAGCAGGCCAGTGAGGCTGAGGAACCCCAGAGCCTCCCCACAGCCAGCCGACAGGGAGAAGTCCCCCTGGGTCACCCAGCCCAGAGTCACCCTGGAGCAGTGGGAGGTGACGCTGGGCAGGGGCTCCGGCCAGAGACCCAGGGTCAGGGCTGAGGTACAGGAGGAAGAGGGGGTGGTGATGTCTGGACCCAGAGTGAGGCTGGAAGAGGAACTAGGCTCAGGACCAGGGTTGACACTAGGGGCTGAGGTGGAGGCAGGGTCAGACTGCTTGTTTAAAGGCTTGGCGGAGGAAGATGCTCCAGGTTTGTTGTGGTCCTTCTTGTGTAGGCGTTTGACACGGCTCTTGAAGTGGTCAGTGTGGAGAGGCTCCTGGGGGCCGGTGCAGCCCGGCTCCTTCCCAACCAGCTGGAGGTCATCTGCGGTGGGGACACACACCAGAGCGTGCTGCTCCGGTTGGCCCTTGGTGAGGAGGGAGAGACGGGTCCACACCAGGCTGCCTCCACCGTGGGCCGAGAGGAGAGATGCTGCAACGTTACGGTTGAGTGGTGGCGTTGAGCCCAGGTTACGTGCCCTCTGACATTTAGAGGAAGTGGGGCGACACCAAGCTGACAGCTGCCTTAGAGACTTCCTGTTCCTGTAGAACACAGAGACAAACAATCAGGGATCAGTGTTCATACTGCAGAACACAAACAACCAATCATGGCTCAGCGTTTATATTGTGGAACACCCAATCACAGCTCAGCGTTTATATAATATTGCCACTACTTCTAGGAAAGCCACTTTGTACCCTCAGTGAACCACCAAAGTGGTCTTAAAGGTATGAAATGTTTTTTTTTTTTTTTTTACCGCCCAGTGATTTCCAGCGCCACAAAATGGATGCAGCCAAAACGCAGTAAAATCGAATAACATTTGAGCTCATGAAGTCAGCCATTACTCTAAGCTGCTGATTTTACGAGGACAATCTCTGATGTATGGCAGTAATTTGGGTCTGGATGTTCTCATCATGAAAGGTAGGCTGGGGAGGGGTTATGCATCAGAGCTGTCAAACACTACGCTACACTTTGGGGAAAAAAGGTAAAGTCATTATTAAAACAAAAATAGGGGTCTTTATAAAGGTGATAAGCAATTATTCAAACATTATGAATTAATACTATTAGTTATGCAGAGGAGAGGATGAAACTAATAGTAGATGTAATGAAACACACTTTAATACTGAGATTCAGGGCTCTAGTCAATCTGTAAAGCTGAAGCGCTACAGATTCCGCTATAGAAATGTAAAGATGATGTCCTATTGAGCCGACGTATGCAGCGTTTACCGTGAATGCAGTCTCTGCTAAAGCGGGAACGTTGCCTTTAAAATGTCAATCACGCTGTAAAGATGAACTCCAACGACACGGATTGAATAGAGCCCTAACAGAATATGAGGAGGACATTGGATTTAGGAATTTTCCCTTACAAAACATGTCGTTTGTGATGTGAAAACATGGGCTAAGCAGGATACTATAAGCTAGTTAAGATGTGTCTTATAGACAGGTTAGCTGACAACGTCACGAAAAATGAAAAATAAGTGCACACTTCAAATGGGGCAGAAGGCCGTGTGTTGTAATGATTCTGGATGGTCAGATTGTTGCTAGCTATGACAAGAAGCTGCCTTGTGGGGAATCGTAAGTGACTCATTTCAGCTAGTTATCTTGTTCTTGATACCATGTCTTGTTTAGAGGTGTTATGACTGATGTCATGTCTATGCTAATATGGCAAACATTCGCTAGATAGCTAACCAACAACAACTGTAACGATGGATTTGAGAGACAACAAGTCCTCATTCTGCAAATGTATTTATGTTTTCAATAAACATTGGAGACTAAATATAGTTTACATGTCAACAATCTAAGCCAACCCCGTCTGTTTTGTCCCATAGTTGCACACGTCTGTTTTGTTGAATACTCGATTCTGATTGGGTAGAAGGGCATTCTAGAGTGTGCATTAACTTCAGATATACGGACAGTTGAGAAGAAATTGGACACCTCTGAAGTAGTTCCAACAATAGATGCCTCATAACGTTCTAAATCACTGCACCAAGCGGCCCTACCACATGGTCCATTATTTACAGATGATGTCCAGAGCTCAGTGTTTAACCCTTACATATACAGCATCATCCATAAGTGGCATCTACCTCAAGACTGTGAAGTTACTCTGGGGTGGTGTCACTTCCTGTTCCATCGGTGCGACAGCCTCCTCTCCACCTCCTCCCTCCTTCACAATCAACTCCCACTCCTCGGCCAGCTGTTGCCAGGGACAACGGAACGGAGCCAGGCAGCCGTGTTTGATGTAATTGGTCCGTTTGGCTGGTGGGCGCCTACAGAGGTCAGGGGTCATGCTCTAGTCAAACTGTTTCAGGGCACGAGGGGCAGCCCAGCCGTTTAAATAACAATAATCCATAACACAGTCTAGCCTCCACTGGAAATTAGCTCAATATCAAACACAAAGGATAGTTTATATTAAACTCTCACCAGTAATCTGACTTGAATCTCAATAACAGTGTTATTACAGATCCTTTATTAATATGTTGGTTTGAGGGCCATTACATACATTATGGAACATCCAGAATACCAGTGAGTTGGACTTTCTTTATCGAACATTGAGTTTTTCCCTCAATCCACCTGGAGTTACATCAGGTGATACCAACCCCCTCCTCAATACACCTGGAGTTACATCAGGTTGGTATCCCCTCCTCACCTCCTGAACTTGGCCAGCAGCTCAGCCTCCTGCTCTTCCTGGAAGCGTGCTCCTGCAGGGCAGTCTGGGTAGTCGTGGGGAAAGTGAGGCTCTCCTTTATTCTGGGCGTGTTTCAGACTCATCCTCAGCCCTCCGATTCGTACTCCTCTATAAACCTGAAGGAGAGGAGAGGAGGTGGAGGGGGTTGAATAGACATGTTTGTAGTGATTAGTAATTTGTCTACATAAAGGAGGGGGTCCTCAAAAAGCACTATATCCACATTGTAAGTAGTGCACTATATAGGAAATTAGGTAGCATTGGGTCCTGGTCTAAAGTAGTGCACTATATAGGGAATAAGGTACCATTGGGTCCTGGTCTAAAGTAGTGCACTATATAGGGAATAAGGTACCATTTAAGCTGCAACATCAGTGTGTAGTCCATACCAGAGGTACCCAGAAGGCCATGCCCCAGGCCTTTGGTAGCAGCAGGTCCCAGCCCGTCCCCCAGGACCCCATCTCTGTGCCCTGGCTCTTCCCAGACTGCTGCACCAGTAGGACGGGTACTCTACCCTGCAGGGGGGTGGGTAGTCTGGAGCCTGGGACCAGAACATCATTACGCAGTCTGTTTAGTTCCTGCAGACAGAGAGAGGAATGATATGGGAGACACAAACCACGTTTCCATCCAAAGTTTTTATGCAAGTCACGGCGTATGAAAATAAATCACCACAGGTGTGACCGTATGATAATAAATCACCACAGCTGTGACCGCATGATAATAATTCACCACAGCTGTGACCGTATGATAATAAATCACCACAGCTGTGACCGTATGATAATAAATCACCACAGCTGTGACCGTATGATAATAAATCACCACAGCTGTGACCGCATGATAATAATTCACCACAGGTGTGACCGTATGATAATAAATCACCACAGGTGTGACCGTATGATAATAATTCACCACAGGTGTGATAGAAACAGTGTCGCTACAATTTCACAAATGTCAACAGAAAAATGTTCCTTAGACATGGCCTGATCTTTTTGTGTTGGTAAAATGTATTATGCAAAGTAAACTTGGAGTCAGGCCATGATATGTTACGTTGTACTACCACTACCACGAGGAGAAGCATTAAGAGTTTATAGGCAGATGAAATAAGTTCAGCTGAGCTTCATGGTGGTGATGGAGGGTGATGAGCTTCATGGTGGTGATGGAGGGTGATGAGCTTCATGGTGGTGATGGAGGGTGATGAGCTTCATGGTGGTGATGGAGGGTGATGAGCTTCATGGTGGTGATGGAGGGTGATGAGCTTCATGGTGGTGATGGAGGGTGATGAGCTTCATGGTGGTGATGGAGGGTGCTGAGCTTCATGGTGGTGATGGAGGGTGCTGAGCTTCATGGTGGTGATGGAGGGTGATGAGCTTCATGGTGGTGATGGAGGGTGATGAGCTTCATGATGGTGATGAGCTTCATGGTGGTGATGGAGGGTGATGAGCTTCATGGTGGTGATGGAGGGTGATGAGCTTCATGTACATTTCCAATAAATAGAGGGTTTTATTTGAATGCTGGTGACATGATGATCAACGCTTGGCTGCCAATTACCAAATAAAAATATCGCTCTTTTCCATATTTCACCATATAACCTACCCTGTCCACTGTCAGTGAACTGTTGTCTATAGAACATGTTCCAGAACCTGTTGTCTATAGAACATGGTCCAGAACCTGTTGTCTATAGAACATGGTCCAGAACCTGTTGTCTATAGAACATGGTCTAGAACATGGTCCAGAACCTGTTGTCTATAGAACATGGTCCAGAACCTGTTGTCTATAGAACATGGTCCAGAACCTGTTGTCTATAGAACATGGTCCAGAACCTGTTGTCTATAGAACATGGTCCAGAACCTGTTGTCTATAGAACATGGTCCAGAACCTGTTGTCTATAGAACATGCTCCAGAACCTGTTGTCTATAGAACATGGTCCAGAACCTGTCAGGGAACTGTTGTCTATAGAACATGGTCCAGAACCTGTCAGGGAACTGTTGTCTATAGAACATGGTCCAGAACCTGACAGGGAACATTGGCTATATAGCTTAACAGTTTCTGTGACAAAACCATAGAGTTGAAAATGCGATGGAAGCCCATCTAACTTGTATTGTTTATTCGGTACATGGGAATTTAACAACAGAAGGTATTATTATCTCCACTACGTCGTCTCACACAGCCTTTATCTGCAACAAGTCAATGTGATGGAAATCTCTGGTGGGAAAATGTGCATATTGTTTTTATGCTGAGTTTTGAATATTCACATGAAAATCTGTCGCCAATTGGATGGAAACCTAGCTACAGATGCAGTCAAGGATTCAATTAAACAGCAGGGTGGATTCTTGGAGAACAATCAAACATGACAGAGGAAAAAAGATTGGACTCTTCTTCCTGGGTAGAGTCTCCTGGGGGACACACATTTAGTAATGATATATTGACAGACATGATGCTATGGTTCAGTACCTGGTCTGTCATCTTGTTGTGTGTGACATTGTCGCGGACAGACCGGTCCCACAGGGAACTCTGGCTGAGGTGTTCAGGGATCCCCTTTAACATCAGTTCCCTCCTCCTCTCCTCGTTCTCTCCTGAAACAACATGACAGAGGGCATACTCCCGTATGACCAGGTACTCAGGAGAGTGTGTAGACCGGAGGAAGCACCCAACTAGCTGGCAACATCTATGGCTTCACCTAGTAGCTCTATAGACCTATATCCACTAAATCAGGAAGAAGAAGTGTGTGATGCAACACCCAGCCAGGTACTAAAAAGGTAAATAAGGAAGTGTGTGTGACCCTCTGAGGGTGTGGTCTGAGCACAGGGTCCTGCCAGGATTCGAACCTGGGACATCTGCATGGACGAGCAGAGGCTCCCCAGGAGCACAGGACCAGAGAAGACCCACAACCAGCCTCAGACAGGACCAGAAGACCAGAGAAGTACCCACAGAACCTCCCTACCCTCAGGACCTATTCCCAGGACTATCACATTCACAAACACAGGGTCCTGTTCAGCAGGGCACAATGTATTACATTTTCTTGCATGCGTTCTTATTGGATATTAGGTAGTAGGGCTACCTCACAGTTTCACTCCTATTTGTGTGTTCTGAGCATGGCCCAGGTATAAATCACCCTAAAGGAGTATAATAATGTAATGTCAACTATATCCGACCTGTCTGAACCACCCCCCACCCTTTCTGCTGGCTCAGAGGTTACCTTGTTCCTTCCTGATGTCGGACACGGCCATGCTTCTCTTGTTTGGTAAGGTCAATCTGGGGTCATCCACCGTCAGACCCAGAACTGAGCCGGCTGGGACCTCCGCTGTGGAGTACACACCTGAGGGGGAGGAGACAGACAGGCACAGACATGAGTTACGCTTTGGTGCCTCTAGGGCCATTCAGAAAACTGATTGAGGACCTTATTACGGATGAATGTGTGTTTCCTATGACCGTGTTTTAGTTTCTGCTTTGCATTTTCTATTTATTTTTGTCATTTAGGGCTCATCTGCATAAAGAGACCCTGGTCTCAGTATGACTCCCTGATCAAATAAAGGATATATATATATATATATATATATATAATCATTATAAATATATAAGTATTATGTATATTAATATAGTATGATAACTATATATAATATATATCATCAGTACCAGTCAAAAGTTTGACACACCTACCATTCAGGGTTTTTCCTTTATTTGTATATGTCTACAATTGGTAGTAAGTAGTGAAGACATCAAAACTATGAAATAACACATATGGAATCATGTAGTAACCAAAAAAGTGTTAAACAAACATGGTTAGCAGATGTTATTGCGAGTGTAGCGAAATGCTTGTGCTTCTAGTTCCGACAGTGCAGCAATATCTAGCAAGTAATATCTAACAGTTCCACAACAAATATCTAATACACACAAATCTAAATAAAGGAATGGAATAAGAATACATAAATATACGGATGAGCAATGTCATTATCAGAGCGATATAGCCTAAGATGCAATGGATAGTATAGAATACAGTATGTACATACGAGATGGGTAATGCAAGATATGTTAACATTATTAAGATACTATAGAATACAGTATATACACATATGAGATTGGTAATGCAAGATATGTAAACATTAAAGTGGCATTATTAAAGTGACTAGTGTTCCATTTCTTAAAGTGGCCAGTGATTTCAATAGGCTATTGTGCTAGTTGATGGCTATTTAACAGTCTGATGGCCTTGAGATAGAAGCTGTTTTTCATTCTCTCGGTCCCAGCTTTGATGCACCTGTTCTGACCTCGCCTTCTGAATGATAGCGGGGTGAACAGGCAGTGGCTCGGGTGGTAGTTGTCCTTGATTATCTTTTTGGCCTTCCTGTGACATCGGGTGCTGTAGGTGTCCTGGATGGCAGGTAGTTTCCCCCGGTGATGCGTTGGGCAGACCGCACCACCCTCTGGAGAGCCCTGCGGTTGTGGGCGGTGCAGTTGCCGTACCAGGCGGTGATACAGCCCGACAGGATGCTCTCAATTGTGCATCTGTAAAAGTTTGTGAGGGTTTTAGGTGACAGGCCAAATTTCTTCAGCCTCCTGAGGTTGAAGAGGCTCTGTTGTGCCTTCTTCACCACACTGTCTGTGTGGGTGGATCATTTCAGTTTGTCAGTGATGTGTACGCCGAGGAACATAAAACTTTCCACCGTCTCCACTGCGGTCCCGTCGATGTGGATAGGGGGGTGCACCCTCTGCTGTTTCCTGAAGTCCACGATCAGCTCCTTTGTTTTTGTTGACATTGAGTGAGATGTTATTTTCCTGGCACCACTCTCCCAGGGCCCTCACCTCCTCCCTGTAGGCGGTCTCGTCATTGTTGGTAATCAAGCCTACTACTGTTGTGTCGTCTGCAAACTTGATGATTGAGTTGAAGGCGTGCGTGGCCATGCAGTCATGGTTGAACAGGGAGTACAGGAGGGGGCTGAGCACACATCCTTGTGGGGCCCCAGTGTTGAGGATCAGCGAAGTTGAGGTGTTGTTTCCTACCTTCACCACCTGGGGGCGGCCCGTCAGGAAGTCCAGGACCCAGTTGCACAGGGCGGGGTTGACACCCAGGGCCTCGAGCTTAATGATGAGCTTGGAGGGTACTATGGTGTTGAATGCTGATCTATAGTCAATGAACAGCATTCTTACATAGGTATTCCTCTTGTCCAGATGGGATAGGGCAGTGTGCAGCGTGATGGCGATTGCATGGTCTGTGGACCTATTGGGGCGGGGTAAGCAAATTGAAGTGAATCTAGGGTGACAGGTAAGGTAGAGGTGATATGATCCTTGACTAGTCTCTCAAAGCACTTCATGATGACTGAAGTGAGTTCTACGGGTCGATAGTCATTTAGTTCAGTTACCTTTGCTTTCTTGGGTACAGGAACAATGGTGGCCATCTTGAAGCATGTGGGGACGGCAGACTGAGATAGGGAGAGATTGAATATGTCCATAAACACACCAGCCAGCTGGTCTGCGCATGCTCTGAGGACGTGGCTAGGAATGCTGTCTGGGCATTCAACCTTGCGAGGGTTAACACGTCTTGCAGCAAGACGTCGGTGTCCGCGACGTGGCTGGTTTTCTTTTTGTAGTCCCTGATGTCTGTAGACCCTGCCACTTACGTCTCCTGTCTGACCCGTTGAATTGCGACTCCACTTTGTGTCTATATTGATGTTTTGCCTGTTTGATTGCCTTGTGGAGTGAGTAGCTACACTGTTTGTATTCTGCCATATTCCCAGTCACCTTGCCATGGTTAAATGCGGTGGTTCGTGCTTTCAGTTTTTCGCGAATGCTGCCATCTATCCACGGTTTCTGGTTAGGGTAGGTTTTAATAGTCACAGTGGGTACGACATCTCCTATACACTTCCTTATAAACCCACTCACCGAATCAGCGTATACGTCTATATTATTCCAGGTGACTACCTCATGAAGCTGGTTGAGAGAATGCCAAGCGTGTGCAAAGCTGTCATCAAGGCAAAGGGTGGCTACTTTGAAGAATCTCAAATATAAAATATATTTTGATTTGTTTAACACTTCTTTGGTTACTACATGATTCCATATGTGTTATTTCATAGTTTTGAGGTCTTCACTATTATTCTACAATGTAGAAAATAGTAAAAATAAAGAAAAACCTTGGAATGAGTAGGTGTGTCCAAACCTTTGACTGGTACTGTATATATTTGGTTTACATACACAAAGTATACAATAACAACTACTCTGAATGTTGATACAACATGACATGATAATAAAGTTGATCTAATCCAGGGCTCTCCAACCCTGTTCCTAGAGAGATACCTTCCTGTATGTTTTAACTCCAACCCTGTTCCTAGAGAGATACCTTCCTGTATGTTTTAACTCCAACCCTGTTCCTAGAGAGATACCTTCCTGTATGTTTTAACTCCAACCCTGTTCCTAGAGAGATACCTTCCTGTATGTTTTAACTCCAACCCGGTTCCTAGAGAGAACCTTCCTGTATGTTTAACTCCAACCCTGTTCCTAGAGAGATACCTTCCTGTATGTTTTAACTCCAACCCGTTCCTAGAGAGATACCTTACTGTATGTTTTTTTAACTCCAACCCTGTTCCTGAGAGATACCTTCCTGTATGTTTTAACTCCAACCCATGTTCCTAGAGGAGATACCTTCCTGTATGTTTTAACTCCAAACCCTGTTTCCTAGAGAGATACCTCCTGGAGGTTTTAACTCCAACCCTGTTCCTAGAGAGATACCTTCCTGTATGTTTTAACTCCAACCCTGTTCCCTAGAGAGCTACCTTCCTGTATGTTTGAACTCCAACCCTGTTCGCTTAGAGAGATACCTTCCTGTATGTGTTAACTCCAAACCAACCCTGTTCCTGGAGAGCTACCCTCACCCTCCTGTAAGGTTTTAAACGCCAACCCATAATCACGGCGCACTATCATAATAATTGAGATGGTGAAGTTGATCAGGTAGCTGAATCAGGTTAGTTACAGCTGGTAGCTCTCCAGGAACAGGATTGGAGAGCCCTGATCTATAATAATAAATAATATAATAATATAAATATGCCATTAGCAGACCTTTTATCCAAAGCGACTTAGTCATGTGTGCATACATGTTTTTACGTATGGGTGGTCCCGGGGATCGAACCCACTACCCTGGCGTTACAAGCGCCATGCTCTACCAATTGAGCTACAGAGGACCACAAAATGTTACAATGTTTGTAATTACATTTTAGTAATTTAGCAGATGCTCTTTTCCAGAGCGACTTACAGTTAGTGAGTGCATACATTTTTCAAACTGGCCCCCCCCCCGTGGGAATCGAACCCACAACCCTGGCGTTGCAAGCGCCATGCTCTATCAACTGAGCTACAGGGGGACTGTAATCTAATGAATTGATGTAATGAATGAGGAATGTAGCTGTAAGTAACCCACCTTTGAGGATGTTGAAGACACCAGCTTGTTGTCGATGAAGAGTCATGTTGCAGTCGTCTCTGCAGTGATCTGACCACCAGAAGGGAGACGGTCCGGCTTTACTAGCAGCCTGAAATAAAGAAACACCTGACTAACGCCTTACACTGGAACATACAGGATATTACTGGTCTCTAGATAAATCATCCCAGGTTACAGGATATTAGCCGGTCTCTAGATAAATCATCCCAGGTTACAGGATATTAGCTGGTCTCTAGATAAATCATCCCAGGTTTTACAGTATTTAGCTGGTCTCTAGATAAATCATCCCAGGTTACAGGATATTAGCCGGTCTCTAGATAAATCATCCCAGGTTACAGGATATTAGCCGGTCTCTAGATAAATCATCCCAGGTTACAGGATATTAGCTGGTCTCTAGATAAATCATCCCAGGTTACAGGATATTAGCTGGTCTCTAGATAAATCATCCCAGGTTACAGGATATTAGCTGGTCTCTAGATAAATCATCCCAGGTTACAGGATATTAGCTGGTCTCTAGATAAATCATCCCAGGTTACAGGATATTAGCTGGTCTCTAGATAATCATCCCAGGTTACAGGATATTAGCTGGCCTCTAGATAATCATCCCAGGTTACAGGATCATTAGTAGCTTCTAGATAAATCTCCCAGAGGTTACAGGATATTATCTGGCCCCCCCCTGGAATCAAATCATCCCAGGTTCAGGATGTTAGACTGGTCGCTTAATAATCATTCCAGGTTACAGGATATTAGCTGGTTAGATAACTCATCCTAGGTTACAGGATATTAGCTGGTTTGATAAATCATCCAGGTTACAGTATTTAGCTGGTCTACTACAAAATCATCCCAGGTTACAGGACTAATAGACGGTCCTAGATAAACCTATCACCAGTACAGGATATTAGTGGTCTCTAGATAAATCATCCCAGGTTACAGGATATTAGCTGGTCTCTAGATAAATCATCCCAGGTTACAGGATATTAGCTGGTCTCTAGATAAATCATCCCAGGTTACAGGATATTAGCTGGTCTCTAGATAAATCATCCCAGGTTACAGGATATTAGCTGGCCTCTAGATAAATCATCCCAGGTTACAGGATATTAGCTGGCCTCTAGATAAATCATCCCAGGTTACAGGATATTAGCTGGTCTCTAGATAAATCATCCCAGGTTACAGGATATTAGCTGGCCTCTAGATAAATCATCCCAGGTTACAGGATATTAGCTGGCTCTAGATAAATCATCCCAGGTTACAGGATATTAGCTGGTCTCTAGATAAATCATCCCAGGTTACAGGATATTAGCTGGTCTCTAGATAAATCATCCCAGGTTACAGGATATTAGCTGGTCTCTAGATAAATCATCCCAGGTTACAGGATATTAGCTGGTCTCTAGATAAATCATCCCAGGTTACAGGATATTAGCTGGTCTCTAGATAAATCATCCCAGGTTACAGGATATTAGCTGGTCTCTAGATAAATCATCCCAGGTTACAGGATATTAGCTGGTCTCTAGATAAATCATCCCAGGTTACAGGATATTAGCTGGTCCTCTAGATAAATCATCCCAGGTTACAGGATATTAGCTGGTCTCTAGATAAATCATCCCAGGTTACAGGATATTAGCTGGTCTCTAGATAAATCATCCCAGGTTACAGGATATTAGCTGGTCTCTAGATAAATCATCCCAGGTTACAGGATATTAGCTGGTCTCTAGATAAATCATCCCAGGTTACAGGATATTAGCTGGTCTCTAGATAAATCATCCCAGGTTACAGAATATTAGCTGTCTCTAGATAAATCATCCCAGGTTACAGGATATAGCTGGTCTCTAGATAATCATCCCAGGTTACAGGATATTAGCTGGTCTCTAGATAAATCATCCCAGGTTACAGGATATTAGCTGGTCTCTAGATAAATCATCCCAGGTTCTTACATCACAGTGTGTGGCAGGGGCCAAGGTTTCAGTCAGAACGGAATGTGATAGAGGTCCAATCAGACGATAGCGCACCATCTCCATGGTGAGGTCACTGCAAAACAACAGTAAACAACAACAACATCCATGAAGTACACACGGTTGAGAATAAAGGGAGGGTTTATAAATTGACAGAAAACAATAAATATATGACTAAATCAAACCTGATGTATTAACATTCAGGAAGTCTTCACACCATCAAGGTGCCAACCTCCAGACACAGCTAACACGTACATGTGCGTAGAGCTTCAAGAGCCTCTGAAAGCAGTAAGGTTTGAACCAACCTGATGACTATGCCAGTGGTGCAGGACCTCCAGGTGACAGGTGTGGTAGCAGACGTGGTGCTGTTCCCCAGGAGCTTCTTGGCTGGTGGCCCTGCAGCCTCACGCTCCCCCGAGGACCACTTCCTCTTAGAACCAGAACCAGAGGCCTGCTCAGCCTCAGGACAAGCCCCAGGACCATGGGCCAGAGTGGGGGTAGGGGCTGGGGTAGAGGTGGGCGCCAGGGCTGGCTGTGGGACAGGGAGCTCCACTGGAGCAGGTGGAAGTACAGCCTCAGAACACTGACAGACAGCCTGCAGCTCTGGGAGGAGGTCCTGAAAACGGTTACAACAGTCATTACACAGCAGTTACTTTAAGTATGAATAATGAAAGCACTACAGCGCCAGGCCTACTGACTATGAATAGTATTACACTGTCACTTTACAGTATAAGATGGTACTGTACTGATCCCAAAGGGGACATCTGATTGATGGTACTGTACTGATCCCAAAGGGGACATCTGATTGATGGTACTGTACTGATCCCAAAGGGGACATCTTATTGATGGTACTGTACTGATCCCAAAGGGGACATCTTATTGATGGTACTGTACTGATCCCAAAGGGGACATCTGATTGATGGTACTTTACTGATCCCAAAGGGGACTTTAGACTTTGATTAAATGATGGGTAATGTTACTGATCCCAAAGGGGACATCTGATTGATGGTACTGTACTGATCCCAAAGGGGACATCTGATTGATGGTACTGTACTGATCCCAAAGGGGACATCTGATTGATGGTACTGTACTGATCCCAAAGGGGACATCTGATTGATGGTACTGTACTGATCCCAAAGGGGACATCTGATTGATGGTACTTTACTGATCCCAAAGGGGACATCTGATTGATGGTACTGTACTGATCCCAAAGGGGACATCTGATTGATGGTACTGTACTGATCCCAAAGGGGACATCTGATTGATAGTACTGTACTGATCCCAAAGGGAACATCTGATTGCACCAGCTTATAGACAACGATAAAGACATTACACCATCAATTAATAGTTGAACGTTTGCTCAATACTTCTAATACTGATTGATTCTGCATTTTAGTTCCTCTGACCGGTTTCATGGTGGGGTGCGCCCAGATCCACAGCTGTCTGTGTGTTGATCCCTGGGAGCCCTGGTCGTCCTGGCCCCGCCCCTGTGTTCTGGGTCTCCAGAGGAACGTTACAGGCCCCAGGGGCTGGAGAGGGTATTGTTCTGCCCTGTAAACCACCACACTGCCCTGTCTCCTGCCGGACACACACATGGCTGCTGCAAACGTAGGCCCTGTGGTTACAACAGATGTCATCATCAATAATACCGTAAAGCAGGGGTCACATATTTGCTAGACCACCTGACTTGAAGAACCAATCATTTTCAAACTTTATACTGAAATACTTGTATATTTCTCGAGACTGATGCTGCGTTTAGACGAGGGACGCAAAAAACGTCATACCAGTCGGCATAGCGGTACAAGAGAGCAAGAAACAAGGTGACGGCAAAAGCAAACCAGCACGACGGTTTGTGTTGCTATGGTGATTTCACTAAACAGCGCAAATCAACATCCGGTATAAAACAACGCTAATGCAGATGGCAAAAGTTGAAATATTTTAACTCTGGTGGCAAGTCCCTTCTACCGTGGCGGCTGATGGCATTCACCGGTCTTTACCGTTGTGCGCTCATTGAAAAACAATGACATCCGGTTTGCCGTCTGCCTCGTACCATCTAAACGCAGCATGATTGACACTGTGGTTTGTTTGTGAGGAGCGAACAGGAAAGCAGTACTCACCAGCTTCCTTGCTGGTCAGCTTAGAGAGGGTAGCTAACAGCTGTTCCTCTGGTCCCTGTAACTCCACACAGCAGTAGTAGGACATGTCCTGGGTAGAGGGGGATACAGAGGATTCACTTTGGGATACATACCAACACTTCGAAATATGATTTTACTAGTTGGCAACTGCTGTATTCATATCTGATCACACAGCAAACATTTAAAGCGGTTGTCGCTCATGTTCGTACCGTGTGAACACCTGGGTAGAAAACAGTTGTCATTTATTATATACTTTGAGCTACAGAGACTACTATTTTAGTAATCACAAAGTAAACCTATTTAGAAGAACTATGCACGCATGACTAAGTCGCTTTGGATAAAAGCGTCTGCTAAATGGCATATTATTATTATTATTAAATTATTTAACTTGAAGTCAAGTGTTACCGTTTTCTTTTATACCTGTATTTCCTCTGCATTTTGAAACTCCAAAGTGTTGTACTTTGAATGTTAAGATGAGTCCATGTCCCTCACTGTTGCCTAGATCTAGCTAAATGCCTGAAAATGACAGACGTTTTCAGGCCTAAACATTTGTCTTATCACAAGTCATGTCCCAGGCCATTAGTTGAGTATATCCACCTACAGTGCCTTCAGAAAGTATTCACACCCATTGACTTTTTCCACATTTTGTTGTTACAGCCTGAATTAAAAAATTTATTAAATTTAGATTTTAAAATCTGTGTGAATAACTTCTGTGTTCATATGTGTTAGAAATTTAGATTTTTCCAGTCTAGCGAAGTCTCCACCCTCGCAAAAGGAAACGAGACAAAACCCCCCTCCCTATTTATACTTACTTGTACAAAATATATAATTGGTTTTTCTTGATTATCTACACCTGGGGCCTGTTCAGGAGAATGGAAATGTACAGAATGTTCAGACAGATTGGAATAGTATATGAAAAGGAGTGCTCTATTCATTTTATTTATATCTGCAACATGCCGTTCCAGATACAGCCTTACCATTAGTTGAAGGCAGCCAATCCAACATGCCGACATGATTGCCTTCCTCCATAACTTTGCTACATTTGGCACCAATCATCGTTTCAAAAGTTGTTTTCTAGAATACATAGGTCCAGGAAAGTATTTGTAAAAAGTGTTTGCCTTTCTGAGATCTGTTTCAATAGTTTTAGAAAAAGTCTATTTTGGGGGTTGTATTAAGTAATCCGCAGAACTTTTTCAACTGTTTAAACTGTATTATCCAAGAGGGATTGAATCATAAAAAATCTAACAGCCTTCATTGAACTGGCGCTTATAATCGTCAATCAATCAAATTGTTTTATAATTAGTTGTCCCAAAGTGTTTAAATATTGCCTGAAGTCGTGGTATTAAAAGTTAGAAGAGCATTTGGGGGGCTCTGATTCAAACCCCTAAAATCTTACAGAGACAGTGGGAGCTCATGGCTTGCAGCGGCTAACCTAACCTATACAGGGAGCTATCTTAACGGCCTTAACACTAACCTCAGTAATTAAGTGGGAGCTCATGTCCAAGGCTCTAACACTAACCGCAGTAGACAGTGGTAGGGGCAATGCTCGCAGCAGTTAACATACTATGCTAGTAGACAGTGGAGCAACATGCTTACAGCAGGCTCTAACACTAAGCTGCGTAGACAGTGGGAGCTCATGGCTCCTGCAGAGCAGTCGACCTACCTGCAGACAGTGGGACGCATGCTCTGCAGGGACTCACACCCTCGCAGGCAGTGGAGCTCTGACCTGAGCAGGGCTCACACTACGCGCAGTTAACGAGCTCATGCTAGCAGCGGCTCAACTCAACCTAGCTAGACAGTGGGAGTAACATGGACTTCAGCCGCCAGCCTAACTGCATAACGTGAGCAGGCTGCAGGCTCTAACACTACCGCAGTAACAGGGGAACTCATGGCTCGTGGGAGCTCGGTCTACGCAACCTGCAGTAAGACGGGATCAGGCGAGCAGGCTCTACACACTGCAGCACAGTGGAGCTCATGGCTTGCAGCAGGCTCTAAGCACTAACGCTAACAACGTGGAGTCATGGGGCTCTGCAGCAGGCTCTAACACTAACCTGCAGTAGACAGTGGGAGCTCATGGCTCTGCAGCAGGCTCTAACACTAACCTGCAGTAGACAGTGGGAGCTCATGGCTCTGCAGCAGGCTCTAACACTAACCTGCAGTAGACAGTGGGAGCTCATGGCTCTGGCAGCAGGCCTCTAACGCTAACCTGTCAGTTAGAACGTGGGAGCTCATGGCTCTGTAGCAGGCTCTAACACTAACCTGCAGTAGACAGTGGGAGCTCATGGCTCTGCAGCAGGCTCTAACACTAACCTGCAGTAGACAGTGGGAGCTCATGGCTCTGCAGCAGGCTCTAACACTAACCTGCAGTAGACAGTGGGAAGCCTCAGGATCTGCAGCAGGCTCTAAACACTAACCTGCAGTAGGACAGGGGAGCTATGGTCTCCAGGCAGGCTCTAACACTAACCGTGCAGTAGACAGTGGGAGCCATGGCTCTGCAGCAGGCTCTAACACTTAACTGAGTAGACAGTGGGAGCTCATGGCTCTGCAGCAGGCTCTAACACTAACCTGCAGTAGACAGTGGGAGCTCATGGCTCTGCAGCAGGCTCTGTAACACTTGTAGGTTGGCCTGTCTCCCAGACAGTAGCCCCATCTCTTGACCATGTGGAAGCGCTTGGCGTGCCAGATGTGCGTCTCCAGCCACAGGTTCTTCCGCTGGCGCCGGTTGAACTCCAGAAGCATGTTGCCGTGGCGACGCCGGGCTTTACGGCTCTTCCTCTTGGACTGTTCCTTCTTCACCTTCTGACCAGCCTTCTGACTCTTCTCCAACTGAATGACAGACCAAACATCCAGAATATTTCCACTGCTGGTGTGTAATGTGACTAGTGTGGCTCTAGATGAGACTAGTCATTCCTCCATGTATGGACATGACAATAACAGAACACAGATCTGGGACACCAGGCTATAAAGTCAAGAGAGAGAGGCTGTGTTTCACTGTGACTGACTGTGTATGACTGTGTGTGTGACTGAGTGTGACCGTGTGTGACTGTGAGCGTGTGTGTTACTTAGACAAACCCACCATGTTGTTGGCCGTGTCTCTCAGCCTGCAGGGCAGCCTCTTGGTGTCATGGCTCATGGCCCTCCTCCTCATGTGTTTAGGAAGAGCTCCAAACACATGGGAGCTGCCTGTTGTCTTGGTGACGGCCTTCAACATGGCGTTCACCTCTGCTGCCCGGGCCTTGGCAAACGCTGAGGCTGAGGAGAGAGGAGTGCAGGCACAGCACATCACAAAGGCTGGCTGGGATTCAATGTGTTGGAGCAACAGCCATTATTTGCGCGTTCTAAATGCCATTGGATATGCTGTTGATTTGCAGCTGGTTCAACATTGAAACGCAAAAGTGATCAGTAAGAACCTGTATCAGTTTAAAAACCATCAAGACATTGACAACCTTGTGCAGGAAGGTGTTCTTACCAGTGATGTGTTTGGGCAGGTCCTGTGGGTAGCCCCCCTGTCCTCCTCTCTGGTGGCCCCGGACCCAGCCCCCTCCCTGGGAATGGCCTGAGTGAGAGGACCCCTGGCCCCTTGGATGTGGAGACAGATCATGGCCTTGACCTGTAGGGGTGTCCCCTCCGTTCCTCCAGTGTGAGCTGCCCTGGCCCGGGGAGGAATAGGTGACGTTGATCGGCTGGTTCCTCATCTTCTTATCGCGCATCCTGTGTTTGGCTGTAGACATTTTGATAGCTCTGCAGAAAATAAACAATAACATGATATCACTAACTGATAACAAGGCTTATGGTACTGTCAAAATGATCCTGTCCTGGGAGTAGGCTACTAGCTACCATTTAAGAGTGAATTGCATGCCCACAGTCACTGTTAGCATGTTATTGTCAGCAAAGCTATGAAAGACATGCCATTCAATCTGCCCTCAGCAAAATAGCTAGCTAGCTAAATTAGCGACTACTTTGCATGCCACAAACAGGCTACGCTAACGAGTTATAAAGTTATCCACTTCCATCACACCACAATATATTTGTAAAGATAACAGAACATATATTCACTTTCAAATCCTGAATACAGGAGCAGTCATATTTCAAAACCACGCTGTACGCTCACATTTCTGTCTACATCTCTTCCGCATAAATATGACGTATATCTTGTTCCGGTTAAATTGTGATAATGGGAAATGTAGTATATAGTAGATATACTTGCTCACGTCAAGAAAATATGGCAAAATTGGGAGAAAATAAATCACACTTTTTGAATTTAGCGTCATTTCGTTTTTTTGGAAAGAATCAGTATACAGTATACCCACAACGATTACAATAATATAAATTGTGGGTCTATGAAACTGTAGGCCCGTCTAATTAAGAGTTTACGGTAGTAGACGCGCTCTACCAGCTGATCTGTCATTCCAGAGTTCCACGAGCTACCGTGCAGTTACTTCTTGGTTTTAAGTTAATTCTTTTTTGTAGAATTCTAATCATGTCTGCGATCATCAGGAAGATAATCAACACCACTAAAGCGCCAGCAGCTATCGGGCCGTACAGGTTGATCTGCATGTGTTGAACTATTGTATCAAATCAAATCAAATTGGTCGCATACCCATATTTAGCGGATGTTATTGCGGGTGTAGCGAAGTGCTTGTGTTCCTAGCTCCAACAGTGCAGTAATATCTAACAATACACACGATCTAAAAAGTAAAATAATGGAATTTAGAAATATTAGGACGAGCAATGTTGGGGTCCGGAGTATGTATGTGTGTGTGTATATTATGTGATGGGATGTATGGACAGTATATGGATAGAATATGTAGTATATCTGAAGAATAGTATATTCTTGTTTGTGTTCTCTGTTTGCATTTATTCAGCAAGCAACTGTTTTGAACATTGTCTGTTCGTGTGTCTGCACAGGGTACAATGAATCACACATGCTGTGAAGGGACATTTGCGCGGTCTTAACGTAGGGGGTGTCACCCTTTTACCCAATAATCGTGGGAGGTGGAGCTCTGGCGCTACTGTAAACTGCAGAGAGAGCTTTTGGTTTTATTTCAGGTTAAAGTGCATTTTGACTGAAGGCCTGTGACTGGCAGAGTTGGCACAGAGGGTATGTGTTGGAATGGAGCAGTCTGTGGACTGGCACTGTCGTTGCGCACTCTACGTTCCCTTAAAAGCCTATTGTATTACATGACAATCAGAAATAAATAGTCTCCAGTATGGTTGCTCAGTTTAACCAGTAGGTGGCAGTAAAGTATCAATTTAGATTTCTGGAAAGTCAAACTACAGTGTTAATTGTGTTCTGGATGGAAAATACTGAGGAAATGTATATGTTTTGCTTCATTTAGATAGCAGTAGTGTTTTAGTATGTCTATAATATCTTGAATGTGACAGAGATAACATTTCACCTGCCCCTATGTCGTTACATATCTTATCAGCTGTCCTGTCCTGTGTTCATATTCATTGTGCTCTCTCCCAGCCAGGCGGTGGTGGTGGACAGGACCATGTACGTGTCAGGCCAGCTGGGGATGGACCCTGCCTCTGGTCAGCTGGTGGAGGGGGGGGTGCAGGCTCAGACCAAACAGGTGTGGTGAAGCTTAGAACCCCTCCTCCTCTCTCTCAGTTACAACCACAAGACATAGAACAGGGATGTTACAACCACAAGACATAGAACAGGGATGTTACAACCACAAGACATAGAACAGGGATGTTACAACCACAAGACATAGAACAGGGATGTTACAACCACAAGACATAGAACAGGGATGCTCATGTAGCAGACGGGGAACTCACTCCTCGGACTGAAGTGTCTCCGCTTGCGCTGCTGAATAGCTAACTTTTCAGTGGTGCGACTGGGTACGACGCTTTCAGGAGGTCGGTCATGTGTGTTTGCGAGGCAGATGTCCTGGGTTCGAGCCTCGGTATTAGCCGAATCGGGAGGAAGCGGTACTCGCTAAGCAAGCAGCGCGACATCCTTTACACTCATTCGATATCAAAGTTAATTGAAAATGAACTTCCTACAGTTTGAATCAGGAATAGGATGCTACTGTGCCCTAAACAATCTCATCTCTATTTCCATCCCGTACAGGCTCTGGTGAACATGGGGGAGATCCTGAAGGAAGCAGGGTGTGGATATGACAATGGTAAGAAGGTTATGTTATAGAATGTTATTTTATGGAAAGTTGTATTAGATGTTTGTAAATTGTATCTAGCAAAACTGATTTTTTATTTTCCCACAGTGGTAAAAACCACGGTTCTTCTGGCTGACATGAATGACTTCGTCAGTGTAAATGATGTCTATAAAACATGTAAGTTGAATTTCTCTGAATATTCATGTTGTTGTGATCCTTCTTATTAAATCTCTGAATATTGATGTTGTTGGGATCCTTCTTGTTGAATCCTCTGAATATTCATATTGTTGGGATCCTTCTTGTTGAATCCTCTGAATATTCATGATGTTGGGATCCTTGTTGAATCCTCTGAATATTCATGTTGTTGGATCCTTCTTGTTGAATCCTCTGAATATTCATGTTGTTGGGATCCTTGTTCTTTAATCCTCTGAATATTCATGTTGTTGGATCCTTCTGTTGATCTTGAATATGATGTGGATCCTTTTGAATCCTCTGATATTCATGTTGTGATCCTTCTCTTTACCATGAAGTTCAGTGTTGGATCCTCCTTGTTAATGCACTGAAAATTCATGTGTGATCCTTGTTAATTCTCTGAAATCATGTTGTTGGGATCCTTTTGTTGTTATGCAGATTATTAGCACTTCTGTTGGTATTTGGCACTGCCAAGTGACTAGGTGTCACTGTTGCCCAAGAGATTGAGTATGGTATGTAAGGAAGCCGGATGATCATTTTTGTGTATGTGGCACTTCACTCGAGTAAGTTTGAGCACTGCCATGACAGTGACTGGAGTTACCTTCATACAGATTCAGTTAGCACACTATCTAAAACTCACTAACCTGATTGACATACTGTGTCTGGCTACGTGAGACTAGCCCCCTATAACTTAAACTGCATGTAAGCTAGGTTGCGAGAAAGGCCTTTATTAGTATGGTTCCAACTGAATACTATGGGATACTGTCAGCTCCATTTCCAGAGCACATACCTTGTTAGTCTGCCATTTTAATGGCAGTGAGAGCTAGGAGACCCCTGCTGAAGAGATAAGGTGTGTGACAACTCTGCTTTAGACCCACCTCCCACCTCTGATAGGCCCCCTACACCAGTAGACCCACCTCCCACCTCTGATAGGCCCCCTACACCAGTAGACCCACCTCCCACCTCTGATAGGCCCCCTACACCAGTGTCTGTAGACAGGTCTAACTTTCCTATCATTACAGTACAGAGAGGGCTGTCTGTAGAGAGGTCTAACTCTCCTATCATGTGTGTTTTTCTGTGTTTACTGTAGTCATATTGTATGTACTGCATGTAGATGATGTTTAAATTAGTCTGTCTATATTCTGTATTTATATATTGTCTATTGCTGTCAGCACATTTTACATTTAAGTCATTTAGCAGATGCTCTTATCCAGAGCGACTTACAGTTAGTGAGTGCATACATTTTCATACTGGCCCCCCGTGGGAAACGAACCCACAACCCTGGCGTTGCAAGCGCCATGCTCTACCAACTGAGCTACAGGAAGCACCACTTCACCAAGTCATTCCAGGTACAGGGCCTTCAGAAAGTATTCACAGTCCACACCCCTTGACTTTTTCAACATTTTGTTGTTTTACAACCTACATTTAAGATGGATTACATGTTTATTTATTTTTTTTACACTGGCCTACACACAATACCCCATAATGTGAAAGTGGAATTATGTTTTTAGAAATGTTTACAAATTAATTTAAAATGAAAAGTATTCAACCCCTTTGGTTATGGCAAGACTAAATAAGTTCAGGAGTAAGAATTTGCTTAACAAGTCACATAAGTTGCATGGACTCACTCTGTGTGCAATAATAGTGTTTAACATGATTTTTTAAATTACTACCTGATCCCCACACATACAATTATCTGTAATGTCCCTCAGTCGAGCAGTGAATTTCAAACACAGATTTAACCACAAAGACCAGGGAGTTTTTCCAATGCCTCACAAAGGAGGGCACCGATTGGTAGATAGGTAACAAAAAAAAGCAGATTATTAAGTATTAATTACACTTTGGATGGGGTATCAATACACCCAGTCACAACAAAGATACAGGCGTCCTTCCTAACTCAGTTGCCGGAGAGGAAGGAAACCGCTCAGGGATTTCACAATGAGACCAGTGGTGACTTTAAAACAGTTACAGAGTTTAATGGCTGTGAGAGGAGAACTGAGGATGGATCAACAACATTGTATACTGAACAAAAATATAAACGCAACATGTAAAGTGTTGGTCCCATGTTTAAAATAAAAGATCTCAGAAATGTTCCATATGCACAAAAAGCTTATTTCTCTCAAATTTTGTGCACAAATTTGTTTACATCCTTGTTAGTGAGCATTTCTCCTTTGCCAAGATAATCCATCCACCTGACGGGTGTGGCATTTCAAGAAGCTGATTCAACAGCATGATCATTACACAGGTGCACCTTGTGCTGGGGACAATAAAAGGCCACTCTAAAATGTGCAGTTTTGTCACACAACACAATGCCACAGATGTCTCAAATTTTGAGGTAGCATCAAATCAAATCAATTCAAATTGTATTTGCCACATGCGCAGAATACAACAGGTGTAGACATTACAGTGAAATGCTTACTTACAAGCCCTTAACCAACAATGCAGTTAAAAAAGTAAAAAAATAAAAGCAAATAACTAAAGAGCAGCAGTAAAATAAAATAACAGTAGGGAGGCTATATACAGGGGGGTACCGGTACAGAGTCAATGTGCGGGTCACCGGCTAGTCGAGGTAATTTAGGTAATATGTACATGTGGGTAGAGTTAAAGTGACTATGCATAAATAATAAACAAAGTAGCAGCAGCGTAAAAGAGGGGGATGGGGTGGGGGGGCTGTGCAAATAGTCTGGGTAGCCATGATTAGCTGTTCAGGAGTCTTATGGCTTGGGGGCAGAAGCTGTTGAGAAGTCTTTTGGACCTAGACTTGGCGCTCCGGTACCGCTTGCCGTGCGGAGGCAGAGAGAACAGTCAATGACTAGGGTGGCTGGAGTCTTTGACAATTTTTAGGGCCTTCCTCTGACACCGCCTGGTATAGAGGTCCTGGATGACAGGAAGCTTGGCCCCAGTGATGTACTGGGCCGTACGCACTACCCTCTGTAGTGCCTTGCGGTCGGAGGCCAAGCAGTTGCCATACCAGGCGGTGATGCAACCAGTCAGGATGCTCTCAATGGTGCAGCTCTAGCACTTTTTGAGGACCCATGCCAAATCTTTTCAGTCTCCTGAGGGGGAATAGGCTTTGTTGTGCCCTCTTCACGACTGTCTTGGTGTGTTTGGACCATGATAGTTTGTTGGTGATGTGGACACCAAGAAACTTGAAGCTCTCAACCTGTTCCACTACAGCCCCGTCGATGAGAATGGGGGTGTGCTCAGTCCTCTTTTTTTTCCTGTAGTCCACAATCATCTCCTTTGTCTTGATCACATTGAGGGAGAGGTTGTTATCCAGGAACCACACGGCCAGGTCTCTGACCTCCTCCCTATAGGCTGTCTCATCGTTGTCGGTGATCAGGCCTACCACTGTTGTGTCGTCGGCAACCTTAATGATGGTGTTGGAGTCGTGCTTGGCCATGCAGTCATGGGTGAACAGGGAGTACATGAGGGGACTGAGCACGCACCCCTGAGGGGCCCCCGTGTTGAGGATCAGCGTGGCAGATGTGTTGTTACCTACCCTTACCACCTGGGGGCGGCCCGTCAGGAAGTCCAGGATCCAGTTACAGAGGGAGGTGTTTAGTCCCAGGGTCCTTAGCTTAGTGATGAGCTTTGAGGGCACTATGGTGTTGAACGCTGAGCTGTAGTCAATGAATAACATTCTCACGTAGGTGTTCCTCTTGTCCAGGTGGGAAAGGGCAGTGTGGAGTGCAATATAGATTGCATCATCTGTGGATCTGTTGGGGTGGTATGCAAATTGGAGTGGGTCTAGGGTTTCTGGGATAATGTTGTTGATGTGTGCCATGACCAGCCTTTCAAAGCACTTCATGGCTACAGACATGAGTGCTATGGGTCGGTAGTCGAAAATGTCAGTGAAAACACTTGCCAGTTGGTCAGCGCATGCTCGGAGTACACGTCCTGGTAATCCGTCTGGCCCTGCGGCCTTGTGAATGTTGACCTGCATAAAAGTCTTACTCACATCGGCTACGGAGAGCGTGATCACATAGTCATCCGGAACAGCTGATGCTCTCATCCATGCTTCAGTGTTGCTTGCCTCGAAGCGAGCATAGAAGTGATTTAGCTTGTCTGGTTGGCTTGTGTCACTGGGCAGCTCGCGGCTGTACTTCCCTTTGTAGTCTGTAATAGTTTTCAAGCCCTGCCACATCTGACGAGCGTCAGAGCCGGTGTAGTACGATTCAATCTTAGTCCTGTATTGACTCTTTGCCTGTTTGATGGTTAGTCGGAGGGCATAGCGGGATTTCTTATAAGCGTCCGGGTTAGAGTCCCGCTCCTTGAAAAAGCGGCAGCTCTACCCTTTAGCTCAGTGTGGATGTTGCCTGTAATCCATGGCTTCTGGTTGGGGTATGTACGTACGGTCACTGTGGGGACGACGTCATCGATGCACTTATTGATGAAGCCAGTGACTGATGTGGTGTCCTCCTCAATGCAATCGGAAGAATCCCGGAACATATTCCAGTCTCTGCTAGCAAAACAGTCCTGTAGCTTAGCATCTGCGTCATCTGACCATTTCCTTACTAACCGAGTCACTGGTGCTTCCTGCTTTAGTTTTTGCTTATAAGCAGGAATCAGGAGGATAGAATTATGGTCAGATTTGCCAAATGGAGGGCGAGGGAGAGCTTTGTACGCGTGTCTGTGTGTGGAGTAAAGGTGGTCTAGAGTTTTTTTTCCCCTCTGGTTGCACATTTAACATGCTGGTAGAAATTAGGTAGAACGGATTTAAGTTTCCCTGCATTAAAGTCCCCGGCCACTAGGAGCACTGCCTCTGGATGAGCATTTTCCTGTTTACTTATGGCCTTAAACAGCTCATTGATTGCAATCTTCGTGCCAGCATCGGTTTGTGGTGGTAAATAGACAGCTACGAAAAATATAGATTAAAACTCTCTTGGTAAATAGTATGGTCTACAGATTATCATGAGATACTCTACCTCCGGAGAGTAAAACCTTGAGACTTCCTTAGTATTAGATTTTATGCACCAGCTGTTGTTTACAAATATACACAGACCGCCACCCCTTGTCTTACCGGAGTCAGCCATTCTATCCTGCCGCTGTAGCGTATATCCCGCCAGCTGTATGTGATCCATGTCGTCGTTCAGCCACGACTTGGTGAAACATAAGATATTACAGTTTTTAATGTCCCGTTGGTAGGATAACCGTAATCTTAGGTCATCCAATTTATTTTCAAATGATTGAACATTGGCTAATAGGATTGATGGAAGAGGCAGTTACTCACTCGCCGTCGGATCCTTACAAGGCACCCCAACCTACGTCAACGATATCTCCATCTCTTTCTCATGCGAATGACAGGGATTTGGGCCTTGTCGGGTTTCTGTAGGATATCCTTCGCGTCCGACTCATTGAAGAAAAAATCTTCGTCCAATACGAGGTGAGTAATCGCTGTCCTGATACCCAGATGCTCTTTTTTGTCATAAGAGACGGTGGCAGAAACATTATGTACAGAATAAATTACAAATAACGCAAAAAAACACACATAATAGTACAATTGGTTAGAGGGCTGTAAAACGGCAGCCATCTTCTCCGGCGCCATTTCAAAGCATGCAGTTGGCATGCTGACTGCAGGAATGTCCACCAGAGCTGTTGCCAGATAATTTAATGTTAATTTCTCTACCATAAACCACCTCCAATATCGTTTCAGAGAATTTGGCAGTACGTCCAACCGGCCTCACAACCGCAGACCACGGTCCTCCACATTCGGCTCCTTCACCTGCGGGATCTTCTGAGACCAACCACCCGGACAGCAGATGAAACAGTGGGTTTGCACACCTGAAGAATTTCTGCACAAACTGTCAGAAACTGTCTCAGGGAAGCTCATCTGTGTGCTCGTCGTCCTCACTAGGGTCGTAACCGACTTCAGCCTGGTTCCTCTCTAGGTTTCTTCCTAGGTTCCTGCCTTTCTAGGGAGTTTTTCCTAGCTACTGTGCTTCTACATCTGCAATGCTTGCTGTTTGGGGTTTTAGGATGGGTTTCTGTATAAGCACTTTGTCACATCTGCTGATGTAAAAAGGGCTTTATAAATACATTTGATTTGATTCAGTGGTTAAATGCTCACCTTCGATGGCCACTGGCACACTGGAGAAGTGTGCTCTCCTCACAGATGAATCCCCGTTTCAACTGTACCGGGCAGATGGCAGACAGCGTGTATGGCGTCATGTGGGCAAGTGGTTTGCTGATGTCAACGTTGTGAACAGAGTACCCCATGGTGGCGGTGGGGTTATGGCAGGGGCAGGCATAAGCTACGGACACAATCGCATTTTATCGATGGCAATTTGAATGCACAGAGATACCGTGACGAGATCCTGAGGCCCATTGTCGTGCCATTCATCCGCCGCCATCACCTCATGTTTCAGCATGATAATGCACGGCCCCATGTCACAAGGATCTTTACACAATTCCTGGAAGCTGAAAATGTCCCAGTTCTTCCATGGCCTGCATACTCACCGGACATGTCACCCATTGAGCATGTTTGGGATGCTCTGGATCGACGTGTACGACAGCGTGTTCCAGTTCCCACCAATATGCAGCAACTTCGCACAGCCATTGAAGAGGAATGGGACAACATTCCACAGGCCACAATCAACAGCCTGATCAACTCTATGTGTCCCACTGCATGAGGCAAATGGTGTCACACCAGGTACTGACTGGTTTTCTGATCCACGCCCCCATACTTTTTTTTAAGGTATCTGTGACCAATAGATGTATATCTGTATTCCCAGTTGGTGAAATCCATAGATCAGGGCCTAATTTATTTATTTCAATTGACTGCATGTTGCGTTTTTGTTCAGTGTAGTTACTCCACAATACTAACCTAATTGACAGAGTGAAAAGAAGGAAGCCTGTACAGAATACAAATATTTCAAAACATGCATCCTGTTTGCAACAAGGCACTAATGTAAAACTGCAAAAAATGTGGCAAAGCAATTAACACTGTATTCAGGACAAAAAGTTATGTTTGGGGCAAATCCAATAGAACACATTACTGAGTACCACACTCCATATTTTCAAGCACAGTGGTGGCTGCATCATGTTATGGGTATGCTTGTAATCGTTAAGGACTGGAGAGTTTTTTTAGGATAAAAAAGAAACAGAATGGAGCTAAACACAGGCAGAATCCAAGAGGAAAACCTGGTTCAGTCTGCTTTCCACCAGACACTGGGAGATGAATTCACCTTTCAGCAGGACAATAACCTAAAACTCAAGGCCAAATATACACTGGAGTTGCTTACCAAGAAGACAGTGAATGTTCCTGAGTGGCCGAGTTACTGTTTTGACTTAAATCTGCTTGAAAATCTATGGCAAGACCTGAAAAAGGCTGGCTAGCAATGATCAACAACCAATTTGACAGAATATGAAGAATTTTGAAAAGAATAATGTGCAAATGTTGCACAATCCAGGTGTGGAAAGCTCTTAGAGACTTACCCAGAAAGACTCACAGCTGTAATCGCTGCCGAAGGAGATTCTAACATGTATTGACTCAGGGTTGAATACTTATCTAATCAAGATATATTGTTAGTGTTTAATGTTTCATAAAGTTTTTACAAATGTTAGAATTTTTCTTCCACTTTGACATTAAGAGTATTTTGTGTATTAAATACATTTTAATCCCACTTTGTAACACAACAAAATGTGGAAAAAGTCCAGGGGTGTGAATATTTTCTGAAGGCGCTGTACATGTAAATGTTCTTGGCTAATAAAGGTCATTCTGATTGTGATTCTAGCACACTAAGCACCCCATAGCATCACAATGCCCCTCACATTTCACACAACCTCTCTCTACCGTATAAAGATCATTATACTGAATGTCCCGGGAAAACTGTGAATGCTGATTTTCATATCCAGGTGTTAAGTCTTGTGCCAGATCTACAGTATGTAACCATGTTTGTGTTCCTCTCCTTTTAGTTTTCAGCAGTAACTTCCCAGCTAGGGCCGCCTACCAGGTCGCTGCTCTGCCCAGGGTGAGGATCTGACGGTTTCTATGACGATACAGAACGTAACCATGTGATGTTACTGACAACAAAGCTGAGAAGTACCTGAACACTATATTTGTCTGTTTTTCTCTCTCTCTCCAGGGTGGGCTTGTAGAGATTGAAGCTGTGGCTGTGCTGGGCCCTCTGACTGACGGGTCTTGATGTAACCTACACGTCAGCGACAGAACAGGAAGTAGGGGGAAAATCAACAAATCCCATGACCCATAAAATGATGTGCCATCACAATACCAGCGTACAGTGAATAATTTCCATAGGTTCATTTCCTGTTTACTTTATTATTGTTTTAAAAATAGTCCAAATAATTAATAGGATTTATGTAGCGCTTTTCCAAATGATTAAAGCACTGAGTGTGTGAGTTCATTGTAAAATAAATATAATTGTGACATTTGAAGAAGACTAACTGTTGCAGGTTCTACAGTATCATTCTTAATGGCCCTTGAGGTGTGACCTACGTGATAAGGTAATGGTCGAGGTCCTTCCCGACTAAATGTTCCTGCCTAAAAATAGTTGCACACCACGTCATCAACTGTGCAGTCGGGCATCAGATGACTATATCATATGATGTGGTTAGCTGACATATTTAATACTTATCCAGACTTCTATATCATATGATGTGGTTAGCTGACATATTAAATACCTATCCAGACTGCTATATCATATGATGTGGATAGCTGACATATTAAATACCTATCCAGATGACTATATCATATGATGTGGTTAGCTGACATATTAAATACCTATCCAGATGACTATATCATATGATGTGGTTAGCTGACATATTTAATACCTATCCAGGCATTGTAAGATCTGGCATGTGTCTGCAGCATAGTCGGGCAGGAATCCAACCTGTGTATGCTGCTTGCCATGGCATTATAGCTTGCCACCCCTCTCTCTCCAGCTCCAAACCCTTCCTCTTTCTCCCCAGCTCCAAACCCTTCCCCTCTCTCCCCAGCTCCAAACTATGCCACCCCTCTCTCTCCCCAGCTCCAAACCCTTCCCCTCTCTCCAAACAAACCCTTCCCCTCTCTCCTCAGCTCCAAACCCTTCCCCTCTCTCCCCAGCTCCAAACCCTTCCCCTCTCTCCCCAGCTCCAAACCAAACCCTTCCCTCTCTCCTCAGCTCCAAACCAAACCCTTCCTCTCTCTCCCAGCTCCAAAACCCTTCCCCTCTCCTCAGCTCCAAACCAAACCCTTCCCCTCTCTCCAGCTCCAAACCAACCTTCCCCTCTCTACTCAGCTCCAAACCAAACCCTTCCCCTCTCTCCCCAGCTCCAAACCAAACCCTTCCCCTCTCTCCCCAGCTCCAAACCAAACCCTTCCCTCCTCAGCTCCAAACCAAACCCTTCCCTCTCTCTCAGCTCAAACCCTTCCCACTCTCCCCAGCTCAACCAAACCCTTCCCTTCTCCCCAGCTCCAAACCAAACCCTTCCTTTTCTCTCCCCAGCTCCAAACCAAACCCTTCCTCTCTTCTCCCCAGCTCCAAACCAAACCCTTCCTCTTCTCCCCAGCTCCAAACCAAACCTTCCCTCTCTCCCCAGCTCCAAACCAACCCTTCCCCTCTCTCCCCAGCTCCAAAACCAAAACCCTTCCCCTCTCTCCCCAGCTCCAAACCAAACCCTTCCCCTCTCTCCCCAGCTCCAAACCAAACCCTTCCCTCTCTCCCCAGCTCCAAACCCAAACCCTTCCCCTCTCTCCCCAGCTCCAAACCAACCCTTCCCCTCTCTCCCCAGCTCCAACCAAACCCTTCCCCTCTCTCCCCAGCTCCAACCAAACCCTTCCCCTCTCTCCCCAGCTCCAAACCAAACCCTTCCCCTCTCTCCCCAGCTCCAAACCAAACCCTTCCCCTCTTCTCCCCAGCTCCAAACCAAACCCTTCCTCTCTCTCCCCAGCTCCAAACCAAACCCTTCCCCTCTCCCCCAGCTCCAAACCAAACCCTTCCCCTTCTCCCCAGCTCCAAACCAAACCCTTCCCCTCTCTCCCCAGCTCCAAACCAAACCCTTCCCCTCTCTCCCAGCTCCAAACCAAACCCTTCCCCTCTCTCCACAGCTCCAAACCAAACCCTTCCCCTCTCTCCACAGCTCCAAACCCTTCCCCTCTCTCCCCAGCTCCAAACCAAACCCTTCCCCTCTCTCCACAGCTCCAAACCAAACCCTTCCTCTTCTCCCCAGCTCCAAACCAAACCCTTCCCCTCTCTCCCCAGCTCCAAACCAAACCCTTCCCCTCTCTCCACAGCTCCAAACCAAACCCTTCCTCTTTCTCCCCAGCTCCAAACCAAACCCTTCCTCTCTCTCCCCATCAAACCCAGTCCAGGTATTAGTAAACAAAGCTTTATTTCAACTGTACAGACAGTTAGTGCAGAATACACAAAGCTCTTATCAGAATGAATATATTACAGAAGAACAGCGACCACTGTTTCAGGGTCTGCTATGGAAAAGAAAAAAACTTTGAATCCTATTGTCCATCACACACAGTCACACACACCTACTAAAATCACAGTCTCTCTACAATGGCATGCAGAGCCATTGTTAAGTTCAGGGGGAGGTTTACAGACTGAACCCTTGGGGAATGCCAGCTAGCTATTAAGATACTCCAAAGTTGTTGTTCAGGATGGACCATATTCCTGTGGCTGTCCATCTAATACCAGGACCATTCCATCTAATACCAGGACCATTCCATCTAATACCAGGACCATTCCATCTAATATCAGGACCATTCCATCTAATATCAGGACCATTCCATCTAATACCAGGACCATTCCATCTAATACCAGGACCATTCCAGAATCTTTATTCTTTGCATTCTACCCGGATGTGGTTGTAGAAGGTAGAGGAGCTGCAGTGTGTCTATGCGCTGGCTCAGGAGTGTGTCTGTGTATGAAGGTAACAGAATATTCCCAAGTGAAGAGAGAAGAGGTAAAGTGGAAACCTACAAGTGACAGCTCTTGTAACACCATGTTATGATAAACAACAAAGGTAGAAATCTAAGTTTAAATAACACTGAATCCTTGAATCCCAAACTTTTCAATGGTTCAACATATCCCCTTATCTACAACACTACATTTGGTACATCATGTCCTCCTGCATAGATCAGGAGGCCTCCTCAAACAGACAGACTCATCATGATTCTTTATATAGTGACATATTGGTACATCATGTCCTCCTGCATAGATCAGGAGGCCTCCTCCAACAGACGGACTCATCATGATTCTTTATATAGTAACATATAGAAACAAACAAGGTGAGAAGGAGAAACTAACAGACAGTTGACAAAACATTAAGAACACATGCTCTTTCCATGACAGACTGACGAGGTGAATCCAGGTGAAAGCTATGATCCTTGTTTGTGTGCCATTCAGAGCGTGAATGGGCAAGACAAAACATTTAAGTGCCTTTGAACGGGGTATGGTAGTAGGTGCCAGGCGCACCGGTTTGTGTCAAGAACTGCAACGCTGCTGGGTTTTTCACACTCAACAGTTTCCCGTGTGTATCAAGACTGGTCCACCACCCAAAGAACATCAAGTCAACTTGACACAACTGTGGGAAGCATTGGAGTCAACATGGGCCAGCATCCCTGTGGAACGCTTTCGACACCTTGCAGAGTCCATGCTTCGACGAGTTGAGGCTGTTCTGAGGGCAAAAGGGGGTGCAACTCAATATTAGGAAGGTGTTCTTAATGTTTTGTACACTCAGTGTACAGTCTCTTCTCAACATTACACTGTACACTTCAGGTCTACTGTTAATCTGTATCTCTTCTCAACATTACACTCCAGGTCTACTGTTAGTCTGTATCTCTTCTCAACATTACATTTCAGGTATACTGTTAAGCGCTTAGTATTTCATATTTCATATGTATGTTAAATAACCTTATTGAAGTAATCATTGATTCATTATTAGTTCCACATTAGCAGGGTTCAGTCTAGTCCAGAAGAGCCGTTGTTATATTGTTTGTCTCGTGTTCCTCTTTCAGAGCAGCTAGTAAAAGTCCAGTAGTATTTATTATGGAACATTCTCCCACCGAGAAGCTGTTCAACACAATGTTGACTCCACAATGACCATGTTAAAGTGACAATGTGGTCTGAACCTGAAGTTCACAGTTGTTGCTAAAGTAGTGCATCATTTGGCTTCACCACAGCTGTCTGTCAGAGACAGTCAGAGTTCAGTTGGAAGCCCAGGTGGCTCCAGGTAATTGGGAGTCAGAGAGTTCAGTTGGAAGCCCAGGTGGCTCCAGGTAATTGGGAGTCAGAGAGTTCAGTTGGAAGCCCAGGTGGCTCCAGGTAATTGGGAGTCAGAGAGTTCAGTTGGAAGCCCAGGTGGCTCCAGGTAATTGGGAGTCAGAGAGTTCAGTTGGAAGCCCAGGTGGCTCCAGGTAATTGGGAGTCAGAGAGTTCAGTTGGAAGCCCAGGTGGCTCCAGGTAATTGGGAGTCAGAGAGTTCATTTGGAAGCCCAGGTGGCTCCAGGTAATTGGGAGTCAGAGAGTTCAGTTGGAAGCCCAGGTGGCTCCAGGTAATTGGGAGTCAGAGAGTTCAGTTGGAAGCCCAGGTGGCTCCAGGTAATTGGAGTTCTCTTTAACAATTGTATTTCCAAATAGAGGAAGAAAAGTGAAGGCACTGTGGTGTAAAGACTTAGGCTACGTCTGAAATGACACCCTATACCCTATATAGAGATGATATTATTCCCTAATCAGGGAATAGGGTGCCATTTTGGAGACTGACAGTAATATCTAGGTATCTGGTCTGCCATTGTTGTGGCAGATGGGTGTGTTTTCCAGAAGTTCATGGTCTTTGGGGTTGTGCATTGTTTCTACAGATCTTCTCTGCATGTAAAAACAGAGGTTTTGTCCAAGAAGATTTTGTTTCACTGGCCACTGAAAGACAATAAAAAAAAAGGTATTTAGTTACATATGCTTGTATCTTGTTATTTAGTTATTAAGATTCCTTGTTCATAGACATTAAGCTGGTATGCCATTATATACATCATCAAGTCCTTGAAATTGGGGTAATTCCAAATAATTGATATTCAATGAAAGACCAACAATTTAGCTGTACATTGAATTTGCTTAGTGACATGTCACCATCTGTGAGAATAGTTCCCAATGTTTTTAATGAGAGTGTCTGTCTGTCCTGGGGGGGGGGGGGTCTTACCAGGGGCCTCCTCAGTTTGAGCCCTCCTTTTTCTTGTCTTTCTCTGCTTCCTGTGCCACTCCAGCCAACACCAAGGCTGCTGCTTCCTGTGCCACTCCAGCCAACACCAAGGCTGCTGCTTGCTGTGCCACCTCAGACACAACCACTGGAACACCTGGAAACAACACACACAGGAAATCAACGCCTGGCAGTCGTGTGTGAAGTTAACGTGTGACATTCCAACATGAAGGGTCTACGTGTCATTGAACTATTACCATAGAACAACGAAGTAACAGAGAGCTTAGAGTACACCTCTCTCTGTTACCAGAACATCTTGTTCAGCAGAGCCGGCTTGGTGAATAGTAACAGTGAAGGCTGACAGAGCAGAGAGCGCAGAGTCAACCTCTC